CTAAGAAATTAGCATTCACAAAATGAACCTTCTGGGAATAACTGTCTAAATTTCCTTTTAATTATAAATGCTTTGGGACCATGAAAATCTCATTGGGGACTATTCTGTTCCATGCACTCCAGGGAAATTTATTGATATGCTCTAACTGCTATTCTGTTCTCTTTGGTACGTATCAAGAATTTAATTTTGTAATGTCTAAAAATAACCACATTGTCATTTTAAGTTATGAATACAAATGTATTATAAAAACAGCAAATTTACATTTATGTAGCATCTTTCATGTTGGGAGGATGTCCCAAGGGCAGTCCAGAGTTTCATATAAAGTATTGCCCAATTTTAGATATTTCTTACCTCAAAATAGTTAAGATTTATTATGGGGATAAAAATGAATGAAAACTGCATTTTCTTTCAATGTATATCTATTGAGTGTCCCTCCTTTTTAGAGTTATAAATACTAATCCTTTGATATAGAGCCTTATTGCATCTTCAAGACATCTCCAAGCGCTTCGCAGAACATACAAGTGAATTGACTGTATATTTTTGTGGGCAAAATCTGAAATCAGTTACTCATCTGAAGCATTTGCCCCCACTCTTACAGCCTGACCCTCTTTACCTTAGCCTGCCTCAGGAGGCGTTCCTTGCTTGGATAATTTCAGACAATAAAAAGTCGATTTTCTCTGTAATAGGATGTTACTTAACCAAGTCACACGCCTGAATACCACTGATATTTATTATCAGCGATATGCAAAGGGCTATCAACTCTTCCTACCAAACCAACAGACTGGGAAATATTGATTTATCCAACGCCTTGAGTGCGAGAATGTCTCCTGACAAATGTTCAAATCAGAGGCAGTTTCAATTTTGGAACAGAATTCCGACTCGTCGTTTTTTGAAACTTTCTGAGGTTTATTCAAAACATTACTGCTCAAAACAATTTCAAATCAGCATTGCTTCATTGGTTGTCTTCTTGTCTGTGGAGATAAACGTGATATAGTGTATTTACTGGAACTGAATAAAAACAACCACAAAGCTTTTATTCATATACAGAAAGGATCTCAACAACTATAATGCTGCACTCTGCATTTCTGGGGGTGTAAAGGTTCATAATTATTTTTTTAGAAAATGCTAATCAACACCGCAATCAAATGAGATGCCAATTTAAAAAAGGTCATGCATCCTCCATGACACAAACTGGTCACTGACGAAATGAAGCAAGAGAAGTGTCTACGTCTTTGTTGCTGTGCAGATCTGGAGGTTTCGAGACAAATAATCAACGGTTCTGCCCGATGGGGCTTTTGCAAAACTTGCTAAGGTTACGTGGGCCTGGAAGAGCGGTCAGTCAACTGCAACTTGTTTCAGAGATGCTGCAGTGTAACTTATCTCAGGTTAACATGTTGCAAGACCTACTTCCTCTTCCTTCCCCCAAAACACATGCAGACGTCCCCGAGCTGTTAAACAAAAACCAATTAGCTTTAAACCGGGAAGCGCAGGGGACAACCCTTACATTTGCAGCTATGGTTAAAGCTTCTGTTGTTACTGGTTAATACATTTCCAACGGTTCTGGTTTATGAACCAGCTGAGTGTTTTTAAATGGGAGAACTGTGCAGCAGTGTTGGTACACAGCGTTGCATGTGTTACTCGTTGCAAATATTTAAGTGGAAAGCACAGCTCTTTGAATCATTTTAGGACTGGAGCAGTCATTGGTGCAATCAAAAACCAGAAGCAAAACCGCTTTCCAAAATCATTTTTTCTAAAAAAAAAAGTCTTCCGCGTTAAAGATTTCTTAACCGATTTTTTTTTTTTTTTTTAATTTTTTTGTGAAGGCTGAACGGCGGAGAATTCCGACTGAATTATTCGGTGGGTAATCATCGAACAATCCTCGCATTGGGCGCCGCGCCTCATCGCGACTCCGAGACGTCTCAAAGCGCTTCACGGAATGCACTGTGTGGGGAGTGCATGGAGACTGCGCCCTAAGAGTCCCCCAAAAAAGACGTCTCCGATTCCCAATGGGTTTTCCGGGGTTGAAATAATAATAATCATAATAATAATCCTTGCATTTGATATAGCGCTTTTCACGTCGGGAGGACGTCCCAAAGCGCTTCACAGAACACACTGTCGAGTGAATTGACTGTATATTTGTGGGCGAACGCGGCAGCCAATTGCGCACAGCGATGTCCCACAAACAGTCATAGATTGAAAATGACCAATTTTATTATTGTTTTGGGTTTTTGAAGGGATTATTATTAGGCGTTCCTAACAGAAATGTTCCTGGTCGGTAAAAGTCATCATTTATACAGGAGAAACACCTTAAACAATTGAACGCAACGATTATGCGTGAAAAGGAGGGGGGGGGGGGGGGACCCGCTGGAGAATGCGGGCATCGACCCCGCCGCCGCCTCCCGCCGCCTCCCGCACGCTAAGCGAGCGCTCTACCATCTGAGCTAATTCCCCGCCGGCGCGTCAGAGGGCGGCACAGACCGCCCTGTTCCGTGACGTCTCGTGCGTTCGTCGCGTGAGCGCGGGGAACGGGAGTCGGGTTCGGTCGGTGCGCGAGACCGAAGCGACTCGCGGCGAAGCGAGAGTCCGGTTGGGAGGTCGGATCGCTCCCCAACGCAACACACAACAAAAATAAAACACAACAAAAAAAAACAGCTGCACCGCCGACCGAGATGTCACTGACCAGACACAACCCCCCCCCCTCCCCCCCCTCCCTCCCCCCCCGTCTGTTATACCGATCTCGATCGACATCACCAGTTCCTTCCCTCTGTGTTAAATGCGCGTACATCTGCATTTATATTTATAGCAATTTCCGGCTTATTGCTGCAGAGGGTGACTTTATCTATTGCAATCGGACACCCCTCCTAATGCTCTTTGGGTTAGGAATTAACGTGGAATCGATCGCAGTGCCAAATCCCTGGATAAAAAGGAGCTCGGCTTTCGTTTGCACCACATCTCTCTGTGGAACAAAAGCCAATGTGACGAGTTGGTTTTCTTTTTTCTTTTTTAAAAAAAATATGACACAGAACCCCCCGGAGCTTTGGTCCAGCTTCCTCTCCCGGTCCCGGTCCCGGTCCCGGTCGGTCTGGGCGAGGTGCACAGTCACAGGCGCCGAGCATCGGGGGTACTGCTTTGGGGTGTCGAATGAGAAGCAAAAAATAAATGACACAAACTTCCTGTGTGTGCGTCAGTAAAAATAAAACTAACACCGTTAGGAAACGGCGAAATAGATCGAGGCGAGAATAAACATAGAGGGGGTGGGGGTGGGGTGGGGGGAGTGAGTGAGCGGCAGGCGGAGGTGGAGGGGGGGGAGTGAGTGTGAGTGACAGGTGGAGGGGGGAGTGAGTGAGTGATAGGTGGAGGGGGGGAGTGAGTGTGTGAGTGATAGGCGGAGGTGGAGGGGGGAGAGTGAGTGAGTGACAGGTGGAGGGGGGAGTGAGTGAGTGAGTGATAGGCGGAGGTGGAGGGGGGAGAGTGAGTGAGTGACAGGCGGAGATGGGGAGGGGTCAATGACAGGCGGAGGTGGAGGAGTGGTTCAGTGACAGGCGGAGTTGAAGAGTTGAAGTGAGTGAGTGACAGGCGGAGGTGGAGGGGGGAGTGAGTGAGTGACAGACAGAGGTGGAGGGGGGGTCAGTGACAGACAGAGGTGGAGGGGGGGTCAGTGACAGACAGAGGTGGAGGGGGGGTCAGTGACAGGCAGAGGTGGAGTGGTTCAGTGACAGGCGGAGATGGAGGGCGGTCAGTGACAGGTGGAGATGGAGGGGGGTCAGTGACAGGTGGAGATGGAGGGGGGTCAGTGACAGGTGGAGATGGAGGGGGGGGAGTGAGTGACAGACGGAGGGGGAGGGGGGTCAGTGACAGGCGGAGATGGAGAAGGGGGAGTGACAGGCGGAGGTGGGTCAGTGACAGGCGGAGGTGGAGGAGGGGGGGAGGAGTGAGTGACAGGCAGAGGTGGAGGGGAGGAGTGAGTGACAGGCGGAGGTGGAGGAGGGGGGGAGGAGTGAGTGACAGGCAGAGGTGGACACAGAGACAGAGACGGCCGGGGAGTGCAGGCGGCCGCACAGTCATGCGATGCCGCACACGTGCGCGATGCCCTATTGCCAAATTGGGTTGCGGTTTCACACCTAAATTGGGTGTGTACTTTTCGTTGATGCCTCATAATTTTTTGCACAAAAAAAGACACGTAAACCCACAAAACACATTTTTTTCGTTTTTGTCCACTGAAGCGTCGCGTCGAGACGCCCCAAAGGCGCTTCACACGATGCACCGCAAAGTGTTTGTGCGTTGGGCGAGTTTCCTTACTCCACGTTGAGTTCGAACCCGGTTGTTAGTCGATTGGCAGATCACTTTTCCGGGGTGGGGTGGGGTGGGGTGGGTGGTGGTGGGGGTCAAATAATCCCTTAAAAAAAATAATAATAATAAGGTCAATCAACCCATGACGGCTGTGCGCGATTCGCTGGCGCGTTTCGCCCACCAAATATACAGTCGATTCACTGGACTGTATAATCTGTGCAGCGCATTGAGACGTCTTGAAGACGTGATAAGGCGCTATATCAAATGCAAGAATTATTATTATTATTATTATTATTACAGTAGTAGTAGGCAGCGCAGTATCACACCGGGCTACCTGTTTTGGGGGGAGGAGGAGGAGGAGGGGGGGGAGGGAGGAGGTAGTAGTATCGGGGTTGACTTTGGGCCACAGACGTATTTTAATTCCTGTAACGTGTGTGTGTACGGACACGTATTTGACGAATAAAAATGAACCAGAAGCGTATCCGAATCCCTCGGCCGCCCTCTGACCGCGTTGGAGCGGACGCCGCGGCGGTTGACAGTCGACGAGCCCGGTACCAGCGAGCGCCAGCGCGCGGAGAGGTGGAGGGTGCGCCTGCGCGTGCGTGCCCGCGCGCGTGGGGCGGAGAGGCGCGAGCGAGTCAACGGCTGACGGGGCTGGCGCCGCGAGCCGGGGGTGGGGGGGAGACATGTGTGCGCCTGCGCGCGCGGCGCAGGTTTCGGGCGAGGCGGAGTGACAGTTGGCCGGACGCGAGCGCGAGCGCGGCAGCGGCAGCAGCATCTGCGCGAGGAAGGATGAAGAGAGAGCTGCTGCTGAGGCGCACTGTCAGCGACAAGAAGCACAGCCCCTCAGACACGAGGTAACCCGACCCTACAACACACACACACACGCCGCAAACGCACACACACACGCACACACACACCGCCTCCTCTCCCTTCGATATCTCTTCCCCGCTTCGCCTTCGCAAGAAGGAGGCGACCCCCCCCCCACCCCCACCCCAGCGGACAAGAGAGACTGTCACGCTCCGGGCGGTGGAAGAAACGGCCGCATGTGTTTGTGTATGTGTGTGTGTGTGTATGCAAACAGGGCTCCTCGACCTTCAACTCGAGTCCCACTTTATTGTATTGGCGTGTGTGTGTGTGGTGTGATGTTCGCTGGCCATCAGCCCATCCCTGCTCGTGTTGGGCACTGTGTTATTGGGTAAAGGTTGCCGTCCGCTTGCCGCTCCCAAGGCAAGTGAACCGACGCCTCGCCTCGGTTCGTGCGCTGATCGCTTGTTGCCGCACGATGTCAAACGAAAGATCTTCGGTCTCGGAAACGGGAGAACTTCGCTGTGCGAGAGCCGACTGTCGATGTCGACTTGTGTGTGTGTGTGTTGTGTGTGTGTGTGAGAGAGAGAGAGAGAGAGCGAGAGAAAGAGAGAGAGAATGATCAGAGGATGTGAACCACCGCTACTTCTCCATCCGTGGATGGCCGTATTGTTTTCCCGAGACGGGAGTCGGTAATCGTGTCACTTGGATTGTCAGTCAGTGGTCGTTTGCCAATGCAATATTGGAGGAACAAATTCGGTAAAATGGGTCGAGATTTACTTCCCCCCCTCCCCCCCCCCCCCGCCCCCCCTCTTTTAAAAAAAGAAATCGGCAGTTGTTGAAATTATCCAGTCTTAACTTCGGGTAATTCTTAAAATATTTTTGTACAACATGTTAAGGGCCTCGTGTAAGAATTGGCCAAATTCTGGACTACGGTAATGCTAAGAATTAACGTAGACCCCACCCCGGGTGACATTTCTGTTCAATTCTATCCAATTGTTTCCGCAGTTATACTATTGCACTTGTCTTTTTAAAGTGCTTTCAAACATATATATATATGTGTATGTATGTTTTGTTTTTTCGTGTCTCTCAATAACACACCGCATTATCTTTTTATGGCATCATGTGGTTAACTGTATGTGACCCTTTCAGGAGTATAGTGAGCAAGTTTTCAGCGAAAAAGACATTTAAACAAAAATGCTGGTGTGCCTTAATTTTTCCAAATGCAAAGCAAACACCTTTTTTATTTTGCAGCCATTGGATGATTTTTAAAAAGTGCATATTGAAATTAACCACTTTTCACAGATTTGAATTTGTGTGTCCTGTCTTGTTCACCATTGCATGTTTATTTTTAAGCAAGCAACACTTCTGTGTTACTTTTTTTACCAATTCATGTAATTCTTAAAACTGCACCTGAAATTTAAAATATTACATCATAATTAATGGATGTCTCCAGTCAATTTAGGGTTGCGATCTGATCAAGGGATATTGTAACCTGTCACAACATCACATTAACTGACATCGTAACACAGATGATGTCACAGAATTGACGTCACCTCAGGATTTTTTCTGGAGAAAAATATATGATGTGTATTCTGATTTGAGATGTTGTTTATTGTAAATGGCAACTCACGTTGGGTACTCATGGCTAATATGCTTTTTGTGTTGATGAGAAATGATATAGATGTTTGAAAACATTTGCACTTCTGCACTGTTTGAAAACATTTGTAGCACTGTTTGCACTGTTTGAAAGCATTTGCATTACAATCGCTAGATTTCTTGAAACATTTTGAGTTGATTTCGGAAACTATGAGGTACATATATTATAATATGTTGCCCCAATGTATTTAATTATTCCTGTAAAAAAGTATTAAACCGGTGAATCTATTTTCATTTTATATTCTAATGAACACTCTTATTCTCTGATAATTTTGGAGTTCTATGCCTGCAATATAATTGTATTGTAAAATTTCTCAGGATCTAACATGAGTTACTCTGTTGGGAATTCTTCTCTTGGGAAAAATTGAGATGAAGAATGTAGATTATTCAGAATCTTACAATGTTATATGGCTATCCTAATGATGTATTGAGGGAGGATGAGGCTTGAAAACTGATCATTCAGTTCTTCACTATTCCTTTGAAACCTTGCTGATTATTCATTATTCTGATCCAGGGCACACCAGTTTTCGTCTGATCTAATGACTCTGTGTGAGCTCATCTATCTGCGGTGCTCTTTGTGATATTTTCATTTACCACTTAGTGATTAATTTGTTCTTGTTCTGGAGGAAGTAGTGTTTTTTTCATTGTGTTATTCAGATGTTTTTGTTTCTGAAACAGCAAATTGTAATCCCTACATGGAAAAACCTTTGATAAACCATAGTAATGGTACATGTAAAAAATGCAGCAGTGTCAATCTTCCAACAGATTATCGTTGTGTCGTTTTCGTAACTGTTAGACAATCTCTCAATGTATTCTGCAATAGAAACATACCATGTAAAGGGGAGTTTTGTCTCAATCAATAAAGATGAAGATGAAAATATTGGAAGCATCTTCACACTTTCTTGGTTGAAAAACACTTGCTGTTTGGGATGCGTTCCATTTAACAAAAAACATGAAAGATTTCCAAAACAAATTAATAATTTTATAATATGCTTATTATCGCTTTCTTAAAATGCACACTTTGGGATCCAATATCAAGTTTGTTGAGACTTTCTTCATATTCCATTAAACAGATTAAGCATTTTGGCAAAATAGAAATTCATTGTTTTTTTTAAAAGAAACAATTAATTGAGAATTGTGTGGAACTACATAATATATTCTCTTTTGCAGAAAATGTTGCCATCTATAAATCAAAGAATAAATACCTTAACTCAGTAGTTACCCATTGTGTATCTTTATTCATTTGTTGCGGACCTTTGCTTTCTATAAATTCCCTAATGGCAGATGTTATAAACTAATCAATACGATTGGATTGGTTGAGGCACTAGCCGTAAATACTATGGTAAAAGCCTACATTCATTAGCATGGTATTCTGCAGCATTGATGTTTCTTCAGACCTCACTTGAGACTAATTGGTAATTCTGTATGATTTCTGCCTGTCTAATATTGGTCGCCTTATTTTTAAAAGGTTATTTTCAGTTTTGCTAAATCTGCTTATTGATGTTTGATTTCCCAAGAAGCATTATTTGAGTTTAAATGTAGTTTAATTGATTAAAATTTCATAGTGATAGCATTGGGAAAAGATGTTATGGTTTTAAATTTTGAGTACTTGTTTGAATGTCTGTTATTTGCATAATTTATTGCTCTAATTATAGATCACCTTGCAATATACGTTAACATGATATTTTTATTTCTGCTACTTAACACATTTGCTGCAAACTGACGCTGTCATTCTTTCTTCAGTCTAGTTCACATCTAATTTGGATGCAGTAACCTCATCTAATGTTTTTCTAGGATCACAAATTGGAGTGGGAATGTTGCCAAATTGTACTTTTTGTAATGAATGATTTAATAGCTATTTCCTCAAGTACACTTTAATAGTGGACAGTCTAAATTGTAAGAGTAAAAGGAGATAACTTGTGGTTTTAACCTTCTCGTGTTTTGATGACAACTGCCTCCATGCTTTTTCTGTGTCAGCCTGACTCAGTTGGTTCCACACTTGCCTCTGGATCAGAAATTGTGGGAGTCACAGTCTCAGCTGAAACTCCATTGCAGTCCTCAGGGCGTTGCATTGTTAGAGATGATATCTTTCGGATGAGAGATTAAACTAAGGTCCTCCCTGCCTGTTACGGTGGATGTTAAGATACCAAGGCATTATTTCTCGTGGTGTCCTGGCTAAAATTCCTTTCAGATAAAATTGACAATTCACTTTGTGGCTGTTTGTATGATATACCTGTGTGCAAATTGGCTGCTGTATTAGCATACAAAATATGCAATCACTACACTTTACAGTAAATCCTAAAAAAAATTCGATATTAAAGTAAGAAGGGGTAAATTTCTCACCAGTTTCACTCTGGTAGTTGCACAGAATACAGATATAAGTTATGGGTTCAAGCTCCTCATCAGGATTGGATTCCACCTGATTTTGTCATTGTCTTCCCCCACTCCCCTCTTCTAGTTCTTCAACTTTCGTGGAGACCAGGAACTCATTTATAAAAAATTGTACATTTTGAATCTATGTCCCACCTGTCTAGTACAATGTACCAATATACTGAAGCCTCATACACATCAGGTAATTTTGGACTTTTTAAAAAATCTTTACATTAAGAAGATATTTTTCAAAGCACGTGATATTTTATTTTCTACTGATTAAAATTGGCATTTTAAAATTCAATCATTTAAAGCGTACTTTAGGTTAGAACTTTGGTACTGGTTTACTTGTTTTACAAATCCATTTAGGTATGCAGAATGCAACTTATTTTGAAATGATTTATGTGCCACTGTTATAAATAGAAGTGCATCATCTATTGGTTAGAGTGTGAACCTCCTGTTTCATTTCCGGTCACAGGAACTAAATGAGAACCTGACCCAGAAGTGAAGTACCTTTCTTCTTGTGTGAAACTGTCTCGTAATATACCAGATCAAATTCCAAAGTTCACATCAGATATAAGTTATGGGTTCAAGCTCCTCATCAGGATTGGATTCCACCTGATTTTGTCGTCGTCTGTTGAAGAGGACAGATTTGATGTGTTTGTTCAAGGTATTTCTATCAGAACTGGGGCTCTTTTTGCAGATCAACTCTGCAAGCCAAACCCTTAAAGGAAGGCTGGTCCTTACTGCTAAGCAGCTGGAAGGCTTGCTATACAGTAATTTTAATGCAAGCTCTGTGGTTTTAGCTGGTTGATTCCAGCAGTAATCCAGCGCACATTATTGGGTCCCCAAGTCTCGGCTTGTGCTAAACTGCGCCTAATATTCCATTTCAAAACACAGATTTCCATGTGTAGTTGGGATGAATGGAGCTCTATTTGGTTTGGATACTCTTCAGGTGATGGGTTTTTGACATGTGTTAGATACCTGGCTGACCAAAAAAACTCTTCGAACCTTTTTAGGACGTGGAACCTTTATTACCAAAACAAACTGGAACTATTTTTAATTCATTCCAAACATGTTGCAAATGAAGACTGGTCTATCCTATGTTTTTTTTGGGTGTGGGGGATTATACAGTTTGTAATTAACTAACAGAGGAACTAATTTTAAGTCAATATCACAACATTTTGAAAAGTACATAGGATAGTAGATCTCCAGTGGGTTAAAATATAAGTTTCAATGGACCTAAAGAACCTGTAGTTCTATTCCCGACAGGGAGAAATGTTGGGCAAGTTTTCTTACTCCATATGCCTCTGTTTACCTAGCAGTAAGTAGGAACCCAGTTGTTAGTCAATTGGCGGATTGCTTTTCTGGGGATACTAATCCCTCAAAAAAAACAATAATTTGATCGCTCAATCCTCGACTGTTTGTGAGATACTGCTGTGTGCAATTGGCTGCCACATTTCGCCCACAAAATTTTTGGTCAATTCACTTTACAGTATATTCTGTGAAGCACTTTGAGATATCTAGACGTGAAAAGTGCTATATCAAATGCAAGGATTATGTTATTTATTTTTTATTTATCAGGAATCCATCAAGGATCAGACACAGAGACTATGTGTATTCCCAATGCTATCATTCGTTGAATGCTGAGCATGACTATTTTGCAATAGCTTTGTATTTTCTGAATGAGGATGCACTGGTGATTGTAGCCAATAGCTATTAAAAGTGCTGGGAAGCATTTTTGAAGTTTTTGGAACTGTTCAAGATCTTGTATTAATTTGAGCTGGCCTGCCTTCTTGCAAGGACTGCATGCTCAAGTCGAATACACCAGTTCCCATACAGATTCCTATTCTGTATCTAATAAAGTGTATTTAAGTGCTTTTTCTCAGGCTTGATACAGTATTTCTGCATTATGTAATGCATTGTGTGATTAGTAGTAAATGAATAGAGGGCAGATATTTTTTCTTTTTGCACTTTGCAAAAGACATACCACCTTTGAAATTGGCCAGGTTAGCATTTGGAGATTATTAAAAAGGTCCTGATTTCGGACTTGTATTGTATTGCACAATTGGTAAGGATGTGCGTTTGAGCTCCGGGCCCCTAATAATACCTGGAATTAGGTTTGCACAGGATGCATCCCTCCAGGGAGAGAGTCTGCATTCCATTCCAGACACAGAAATTTCCATGTGTAGATTTGGAACTCTCAGCAAGTTTGGATACTCTAAAGCATGGTGATAGATTTCTGCATGGGTCAGACATCTGGCTGAACAACAAAAAAACAGCTTGCCACTCTCCCCTTGTGTGGTTGCTATGGCTAACTGGTGAAGCACCATAATTGGGTTGCTCTTAGAAGCAAGCTACTAGAATTTCCCCACCCACATTGCTATAATATGAATCATAAGAGTACTATTAATAATCTTAAATGGGAAGAGGATGTTGCTCTTAGAGTAAAACATTGCCTCTAATATTTTCGACTTGCAAACTGTATTAACTTGCATTTAGGTTGAATTTCAAGTTTTTAATTTCCCATCCTTAGTTGCTGAGCAATACAACTTTTCCCATAGAGTTCTTGTTTGTGTTTTTGTACAGTTCTTACAAGACTGTTGTCATAGCACTGCAAGAGTGGAATGAAGAGGGGACAATTTTAAGAGATCTGTGCAAGCAGTGAGATAAACGATCTGTCTGTGCTGCATCAAAATAAAAATGCAAGATTATACACTTTTAAGAAATACCCATGTAGGTAAAAATTCCAAAAGTGCTGAATGAAAATTTTACTCATTGATTGTACATACTTCTACAGTTCTGATTCATAATATACCAATCTGTGTTTTCCCTAATTTTGCATGTATTTTGACAATTGAAAAGGAGGAGGTTTTATTTCATTACTGGGGAAATATTGACTTGATAAAGCTTGGTGAAAGAAAATGATTTAATTATCCTTGCATTTGGCATAGTGCTTTATCATGTAGTCACAATGTCTCAAAGCGCTTTACAGAGTGAATGCATTACAATGATCTTCCATAATTGGTACTAATGTATGACTGTACTTTGTGTTGCTCAGAGCTGACGCTTCAATTGAAGTTTTGTTTCATTTTCAAAATTGTTTTAATTTACAAAGATCGTAAAAATACAATAAACAATAGAAACCAAACCACTGAATAAACAAAGGTGTGAACAAAACTGATAATAACCATACAACAAAATGCACAATGTCTCGACCTTATCACCAACATCATTATATTATAGTATTTAGTTATTAAGGCAGTGGATAATGGAGGTGGGACTAAGGATAATGGTGAGCTAGGACAGGGATGGAGGGAGGGGAAAGCCTTTGAATTTTATGAAGAACAAAATTGTACATTTCTAAGTAAAAGTTTTATTTTGAAACTGTAGTTCATATTTGAGATTATGAAACTTTTTTTTACAAATAACATGATCTATTTGTTACTTTGGACTCTCTAATTGCAGAAACGGATTAATGTCAACATTTCCATTGAAATCTGCATTCAGGTGAGCAGTCTGAGCTTACTGATTAGTGCACGTACAGTGTATTGTCTATTTCCACTGTTTGTTTATATTTGATAATATCCCCAAAAGATTTAATCTTGTGGTTTACCATGTTCTAGACAAAGCCCAGTCCATTATTTCAATAGGGGCCAAGCAGCAGCTGACGATCTTTATGGATCAGAGAGGTTATTTATTACTGGTTATGTTACATAGACTTATTAGATATGGAAATAAAAGCTGACTTTATTTTCATAAAGATTAATCTCAGATGTATTTAAACATTTTTTCCCAAGCATTAACCTTACAATATAGTCTTACGATAAATTACTGAAGCCATAAAATGTACCAAATACAAGCATTAGTCAACTAAAACAGCAAAAGGCAGAAAAAAATTCAGAAAAATAACAATTCAACAACCGCTTTCATTTATATAGCACCCTTCACTCAGCCCTCTTAACAAGGCAGGGAGTTCCAGAATTTCAGAGCAAAGGGACTGAAAAGCTGCGAGGAGTGTACTGGAGAAATTGAGGCAGCAAGTGATGAAGGTGGATGAGGATTTCAAAGGCACAAGATTTAGATTCGAAGGTATTCTCACACTTCCTCCTCCAGAAAGCAGTGATGAACTTTCAGGTTTTTTAGGTTTTCTGTGTTTCTGATGCATGAAGAAACCCATTTGTTTTTGGTCAGCTGTGTGTCTTGACCATGAGGAAACACATTACCATGCTTAAGAGTATCCAAACTAAGAATTCCATGCATCCCACCTATACACGAAAATTCCAGAGATAGATTGTTGTAATGGAATGCACTTCCTAATTCCGTAAAGTAGGCTGCTAGTAATGGATTTTCCGCACGAGTCAGACACCTGGCTGCCCAAAATAAAATGTGCCTTGAGGAAGTGGTTTCAAGAGTAGTGGAGACGAGCCTGGCTCAGTTTGATAGCCTTTTCACCTCTTGAGTCAGTAGTTGTTGGTTCACACCCCATGTCAGGGCTTTGAATTTGTATTATGGAGGCTTACACTCCAATACAGTGCTGGGGTGAGCGAGCTGCTTTGTTGGAGTCGCGTCCTTCAGATGAGACTTTATCCCAAGTGTGTGCCTGTTCAGGTGTGTTGACTCAAATTGTCACTATATTTAATTATACTTATTTTAAATCAAATTGTTGACTCAAAGTTTGTTAATCTTTGTGTGGTTCACAACCCCAAGACAATCAATCTCACACAGACAGGTAAAAATTAACTTTTATAACTTTTATGTAGCAGTATGCATAATTCAGAAAGGTAGAATTACCGATCTGGAGAACAGAATACAATTGTATTATTTATCTTTTCTTCTCAGTAGTTTCTTCTTTCTTTAAATGGTACTGTAGGAACTTCAGGCTAGTTAGCGACGAATACTTATACCCCTGAACAAACAAACAACATGCTTTTCGGCTTTGTGTTCATCCGTCCTTTTTGAATCTATCATCACCTTTGTGGAGTCTTGTAGCTCAGTGGTTAGAGCACTCGCTTTAAAAGCGAGAGACCTGAGTTCAATTCCAGGCAGAGGGCGAAACCTTGGGCAAGTTTCCTCACTCCACACAGAGCCTAATAATAATACCTCCAAAACCAAAAACAATAATAAATTGGTCATTTTCAATCTACGACTGTTTGTGGGACATTGCTGTGCGCAATTGGCTGCCACGTTCGCCCACAAATATACAGTCAATTCACTTTACAGTGTGTGTTCTGTGAAGCGCTTTGGGACGTCCTCCCAACGTGAAAAGTGCTATATCAAATGCAAGGATTATTATTATTATTATTAATTGCATTACAGTTTTCATCTTCTATACTTTCATTGCATGGATCTGCTTTTATCAAATGCTGTTTTTGATCATTAAGTCAATGCTATTAAGCTTTATTTAAGAGAAAGCAAACTACTTAAAGACTTCAACTAACTAATTAAAAAAGTTATAGCAGATGAATATTTTGCAAAGTCTGCACAGATCTGGAAGATGTTTTAATACTAAGTTTTTCATCTGTATTTGATTCTTGTGGATGTGTGTATAATTTACTGAGAATTTTTGACGATTTAAATTTATTTTGCAGCTTTTGACATGAAGAAAGATTTAGAGTCGTTAATTGCAGAAGAACGAGCTGAAATAATTTCTAAATATAACAAGGTAACGTACAAAAAATAAAATGATTTAAGACGGAAACATAGAGCAGAACAAATGCAAAATTGTTAAGGGTTACTTTTATTTTACACCTTATCATTTTATAGTGAATATTTAACCTTTCTTTTATAGCACTTCCAAATGCTATAAAATAGCATAGTATATGCAGCCTAAATAATTGATGCTACATACAGTAGTATAAAAATTCTCCAAATATTTAATTATTCATTATGCTTGGCATTTTTGTTTCTGCTAGCTCTTTCAGATTTATATATGAAACTTCTCATTTGGTAAAAGGATTCAACTTTTTGAATGGTTAGGAAAAAGAAAGTGCCTTTATCTATCTTCTGCTAATGAGAATTCCAATTTTTTGTCTGGCCAAGAGCAGCTTGAATTGATTGCACATGGAAAATAACAGCATGAATATATTGCAAATGGAAAGTAACAGCGTGATTTCAACACATTAACAGCTACAAATCTAAGCTCCGGAATGAACAAGCATCTGCTCATTCTTATGATTCGTAAATCATTTTTGTATATCCCTGTCTAGATTTCCCATTATAATTAACTATGATTTTGTAAATCATGAGGCAAAGTTGTTATTTGTACAAGTAGGATTTTGACAGTTTTGATTTCTGCCATCATACCCAAGCACATTCTGTAGAAATGCACATTCTGTAGTTATGGTTACTCAATGTTTAGGAGTACCTTTTGTACGCTGTCACATTATGACAGAGCAGGAGGTTGTAAATTCTGTCATAAGAACAGAAGTCGCTGGGAACACTCAGAAGGTCTGGCAGCATCTATCGAGAGAGGAAAGTGAGTTAACATTTTAGGTCGATTTACAAACTCTTTGAAAGCAATGTAATCAACATTGTTGCTATCTATAAAATAAAGTATGTTGCCAACTAAAATAGCAAATGCATCTTTTGTAAAACTTTCACAGGGCAGACATGATGGGGCAGCAATTGATCCTTGGGAAGATTTCAATATATACAAAGTGGTGGACAGATTTGGCTTTCTGCAGTAAGTTATACTCTTTCTTTGAATATAAATGAAGAATATTTTGGAAATAGTGAAGTTGTAGAATTTTTTATTCTACTTTTTGTTGTATTCTATCAGTATTACTAAAGGGATGGCTATCTTCTCATGTGTTTTCAGTGAGAAAGAATTACCCACTCCAAGTGCACTGGAAGAAAAGGTAAGATTTGTTCCCCCTGCCTCAATTTGCTGATTAATCTCTATTTTTGCTCAAATGATATCATAATGTACTGGTTAATCTTTGTATTGTGTCCCACTTCTCTGCCCATCCTGTTTTCCCAGCGGGCTCAGACTGCTCAACCTCTCCACACAACCATTGGTGGTCGTGCCTTTAGCCGCTGTGTGCCCAAAATCTGAAACTCCCTGTCTTAATCCATCCACCTCTTTATCTTTAAGACCGATAGGAATGTTTTTGTTAATTGGTATTGTTGTTGAAGAAACATTTAAAAAGTGTATTTTATTGCTTCATGTTGACAAAGAAGTGCTAAAGTCATTTTGTTCATTCTTCCAGATATTAAACAAAAATTGTTCAACAATCATACAATCATATTGTATTGTCACCAAATTGAAGTCTTGTGCATCTGAAAACAACAAGCTTTTTGAATGAACCAATTTGTGTTTTCACAGCAAAAACATTTGGAGGTTGAGCGAACAGACAAATGGGTCAAAATGCTTAAGAAATGGGAAAAGTACAGAAATAGCGACAAGGTAATGCTAATTACCAATAGACTTGTTTTTTACCTTTATGCTGGGCTACACTGTCAAATCAGTTGTTTCAGATGTTGCAATCTAGCTGTACATTACTCTTATTAGGTTGCACCTGAAATACTCTGCAGTTTCTAGTCGCTGCAACTTCAAGTGCTGCCACGTGTAGGTGGCATAATCATGTCGCAATTTAACTGGTTTGGGTACTCTTGAGCTTGGTGATGGGTTTCCACATGTGTCAGATTTAGAATAACTTTTTACTAATATAGTAAGTTGAAATTTCTGACTTGGATAGTATGATATTTGTATAGGGTAAATTCTTGCATAGAAAGTCTTTGTTGTGCAAAATATTTGAAACGCGTTGAGATGTCTTGAAGATGTGATAAAGTGCTCTATCAAATGGAAGAATTATTATTATTATTTTCATTATGCGTAACACTGGCATGTGTCTTTATTCCAGATGATCCGCAGAATTTATAAGGGAATCCCACTTCAGCTTCGGGGGCAGATTTGGTCAATCTTATTAGATGTAGAAAAGTTGAAGTCAGAAAACGAGGGGAAATATGAGGTAAATTATTGCATACACCTTACTTTTTTTTGCTGTCATCAATTTTTTTCAGTGATCAGCATGTAAATTTATGTTGATACCATTGTACAATGGAGCTGTGTTGTGTAGAAGAGGTTGGATCAAAAAAAAGTAAAAAAAAGTACATGAGTGACTATTATTAATGATAATACTTGTTAATGATAACAATGATATCAGCTATAAGGTCAAAATATCTCATAGGACTTCATGGGTAATTGCTGTGTATGGAGTGAAACTTCATTTACAGTTTTGTCTCCACACACAGCAATTACCTATGAAGTTAGGAAAGTAGGTCTTTCGTCAGCACTGTTCTGATGAAAGTTCATTGACCTGAAACATTAACTCACTTTCATCTTTCCATAGATGCTGCCTGACCTGCAAGGTTTCCTAGTGACTTCTGTTTTTATTTTACTTTACAAATCAGTGGTTTATTGGTATAAGGGGGAACCACAGGGATCCTCCAGTATCCCCAACAGGGACAGAAAATAGTTATTAGCTTTACCACACCCCGAATGTGCAGTTGACTGGTGTTCCACGCACACCCTCTATACCTACTTTCATTCGTGGTTCTCACCCCTCTCGTTCAATCCGCATTCCTGGTCTCTCAGCTACAGCTCTCAACAGCCATAGGCCTTCTCCATAGCAGACCTAGTCTCACCATGTGACAAGGCTGCTGAATTCCTTTGTTCTTTCTGACCTGGCAGCCTTCAGGACCTTTGTTGATCCAGACCCAGGGGAAAGAGTGAGTGGTCAGCAGTTCATTCGACAGCTTTTATATTGCCCAGGCTCCAACTGTCACCCTCAATTACAGTACATAGACCCTTTGCAGTAACTCATGCCTTACCAGGCCCCACATTGTCATTCTGAAAGCCCCATCATAATGTGAAGTTATTGGGGATACTGTGTATTCTATAGCAGTAAGCTTCATTACAGTGATCAGATAAAATCTACAGCAACAACAACAACAAGATTAAATTTGTATAGCGCCTTTCACGTCGGGAGGACGTCCCAAGGCGCTGGACAGAGTACAGCATTTCAGACCCGAGCTGGGGTTGGGAGGGGAAGGGAGTGGAGGGGAAGGGGGTTGGCCAATGGCATGGTCGAAGAGGAGGGTCTTAAGGCGGGACTTGAAGGAGGCTGAGGAGGGGGCGAGGCGGAGTGACTGGGGGATGGAATTCCAGAGGTTGGGGGCAGAGTGGACAGATAGCAGGTTATTGTTGCATAATGCAACTTGTATGACTTGTTACTATTTTATGTTTACACTCCAATGGAATTGGAAATCTTTTGTTTATTTATTAAGTACTTTGGTCAACTAACAAAATAAACACATACACAGTAAAACCCCAATTATGACATGGGACTGGGGCCTTAAAATCCCAACCAGCATTATAATTGCACAATCTTAGTCAGTGCTTCAGCATTCACTGCATGAGCACAAAGAAAGACAGGCAGCTTTTTGCACAGTGTCTGGCTTCCTATGATTTTTTTCAAAAAATCCAAATTCCGATTCATCAAGGTGCCACCAATGTTTCTTCCTTTTTCACTCATAACTCTGAAAATGAACTTTATATATAAAAAAAACAGGCTGTCGTTTTTAAGCAGGCCAGCCAGCTTTCAGGATGCATTTGGACTTTTTTGTTGGGTAAATCAAGGAGTTCACATTCCACATCCTAAAACACGCTATAAACAATCTCATATTAAGGCAAAGTGTGGGGTTGCAGTGTGGTTATGAATAGATGTAATTGTTTGTTTTGAAGGCCTTTTTATCCTAATATCATTGCCTGGCTTTGTAACTTCCTGACAATTAAATATGCTCTAATTAATTGAAGGATTTGATATTTGTCTCTTATAGAAAATGAAAGCACAAGCACAAATTGTTTCCACAGAAATCAAACAAATAGATCTTGATGTAAATCGCACCTTTAGAAACCACATCATGTTTCGGGATCGATTCGGAGTGAAGTAGGTGGTTTAATTTTCAATGCTCCTGTTTAATAATGAGATGTAATTCAGCATCTGGAACATGAGTGCATTTCTGATGTGTTATGATTGTTTATGTTTTAGGCAATTATAATTATCTTTGGATAATTTGTGTGATTCAGGCATAGCTTTACTTTTGTGTTCCACTTTTGCTTTTTTTTCATAAATTTATGATCTTAAAAATGTGGATCTCCAACAACTGTTTGACGAATATCTGAAATGTATTGGAAGGGATCTAATCTCATTTCAAGAAGAATCTAAAATGAGGATGTGCGTTTACATATGAGATAGAAAGTGGGATATATTGAATGCACAAACCTTTCTGCTTTTGAATCTTTGTAAAGTCCTTGATATATATCTGTTAGAATTTCCAGAAACAAACAATTTAAACCTGGTCTAAATAAACAAGCATGCTGAGATTAATAATTTTTGTTTAAGCCTGGGGTTTAAAAATATGCTTCTCTTTTTTTTAAAAAAACTATGTTTAACTGTGTTGTTAAACAGGATATTAGTCTTGCATGGTGTGCTTAGTTTCAGCTGTTAATATTTGTGAAAAGTGGCCAGTTACAAGGTTCTAAAAGGTAAACCACGTATTTGTGGCTTTATCAAAACAGCAGCAGCATTTAAAGGAAAAACACACTGCTATTTTTGCTCTGACTGATTGGTTTATAGTACTTTAGTGCAGATTGGTTTGTGGTACAGTCACAGAATCACTAAGACATTATCAACTTGAAATAAAAATCTTTGTGGTTTACTTTATAATGACATGATGTGTTGCACCTTTTGAGTAATTTATTTATATGCAGTAATACTTAAAATTGCTACAAATCTGTTATTGTTTGAGTAGTTGGTTTACTTGTTGAGAATTGACAAAAGGTTACAACCGGGAATAGAATCAGTGATTGTGCAGAAGAGTAGATGTGACTAAAAAGCTAGCTTTTAAGAAACCCGTCAAAGTAGGGATTTTATTCTTTGAGATTTTCTCACCGCAGAACAGTGAAGTCAGAGTATCCGTCATTAGTGAAACAAAATAACAGTTGATAAAGGTTGGAACCATGTAACAAAGAGCAATGGTAAAAAGATTTTGTTATCTCAGGGATAAATGTACAATATTTATAACTTGAGACATTTCTTCCATTTCCTCCCACCTCCATCGTGACAGTGCACTTGCAGGCATATTTCCAACTCTCTTTTCTCCTCATCTCTCTGGTGCTTGGCTTCACCACGTACTGCTCAAACACCTACTTTGCCCTGTGATGTGCATTAATCTGACTGGTTGTACAGTTTACTGCAATTCGAGTTTCATGCAGAGCCTTTAGAAGGGAGGAGGATGTCAGTCAGACATCAACCCCAAGGTCACCTTTCTCTTAATTCCTCCACTTCCTGGGGACCAAAATCCTCCTCAAAGATGTCACTGCTGCTTGTGCTAGTGATCAGTGCAGCTTCTTGTAAATTGGTAACGGATGTGACTCTGAAAGATAGAAATGAGAAGCATTTGTGCAATCTTCATCAACTATGCATTAACTATGCCTATTGAATATCCTTAGCAAGACTCGGATCTACAATTTTAATTCAAATTCTCATTATTAGCACAGTACCTGGCAAGTGCTCTGTGATGCCATGTAAGAGATATGTCATTGCTGATGACATATCTCTAGGTTTCCCAAAGTTACTCCTCCAATTTTGGGTATGAACAGACCTATGACCTGCTTTGCAGTCATCAGCTGCTATATTTGGAGGGGCCTCTTTTAATTTCCTGTTTGCTTTCAGCTGACTGAAAGGGGATGGTGGAAGTTTGGATTAAGAACTGGCTGAGTGTCAGAAAGCAGAGGGTGGTTAATGGGTGTTTCTCGAAATGGAAGGAGGTGTGCAGCGGTGTCCCCCAGAGATCGGTATTGGGACCACTGCTCTTTCTAATATATATTACTGATCTGGACTTGGGCATAGGGAGCACTATTTCCAAGTTTGCAGATGATACAAAGTTAGGTGGGGTAGTAAATAGTGAGGAGGACTGTAACCAACTGCAAGCAGACATACACAGAATGGTGGAATGGGCTGACATGTGGCAGATGGATTTCAATGTGGATAAGTGTGAGGTGATACACTTAGGTAGGAAAAATGATAGGAGGCAATATAGACTTGGAGCTCAATCTTAAGGGGGGTGAACGTACAGAGAGATCTGGGTGTTCAAGTAAGCGAATCATTAAAGTAGCGGGGCAGGTAGATAAGGCAGTAAAAAAGGCATTTGGTGTACTGAGCTTTATTAGTAGGGGCATAGAGTATAAGAGTAGGGAGGTTATGGTTAATCTATACAAAACAATGGTTAGGCCTCAGCTGGAGTACTGCGTCCAGTTCTGGGCATCTTACTTCAGGAAGGACATTAAGGCACTGGAAAGGGTGCACGGGAGATTCATGAGAATGATACCAGGAATGGAGAACCTTAGCTATGAGGACAGGCTGGAGAAGTTAGGACTTTTCCCATTAGAGCAGAGAAGGTTACGCGGGGACCTGATAGAGGTCTTCAAGATCATGAAAGGTTTCGACAGGCGAGATAAGGAAAAGCTGTTTCCGCTGGTAGGTGTGGTGTGTCTGACCCGTGGTCACAGTCTTAAGATATCTACCAAAAGAAGCAGAGGGGAGGTTAGAAGAATTTTTTCACTCAGCGAGTTGTTCGAATTTGGAATGATCTGCCTGAAAGGGCAGTGAAGTCCGATTCGATAACAGCTTTTAAGAGAGAACTGGATAGGTATCTGGGGAAGACGGGTTTGCAGGGTTATGGGGAGAAAGCTGGTGATTGGGGTTAGTGAAAGTGACTTGCTCTGTCAAAGAGCCGCACAGACTCGATGGGCCGAATGGCCTCCTTCTGTGCCGTAACATTCTATGAATCTATGAATCTAAAACACCATCCTGATATTCATGCAAGATAATCTGGAGCTACTGTCATCGTGTCAGCTTGGCTCTCGCCTCTTAAGTCAGAAGGGTTCTAGCCCCATCTTGGTCTAAATTGACACTTCAGTACAGCATTGGGGGAATGTAGGTGCTGTCCTTCAGGTGAAAAGTTGAACCGAGTTCCCATCTGCCTGTTCAGGTGGATGTTAAAATCCCTTGGAATATTTGAAAAGAGAAGGGAGTGTCCTGGTCAATATCCCCCAACTAAACTTGGTCACTCATTTCATAGCTGTTTGTGAGACTTTGCTGTGCGCAATTGTGCTATCACTTTTGCCTACAAATTCACGGTCACTCCATTTCACAGTAAATCCTGTGAAGTGCTTTGGGACGTCCTTCCAATGTGATGAGGCGCAAATGCAAAGATTATTATTATTGTAATGGAACTCCTTGTTTGGTTTGAATACTCTTAAGTTCGATGATGGGTTTCGACGTGTGACAGACACCCAGCTGGCCAAGAAAACCTTACAACCTTCCCTTTTTGTATGGCTGTGCGTACGTCAGGAAGTGCCTTTACTCTGTAAGTCATTGGTAGAAATACGTTCTTCTCCCTCCCTCTATATCTAGTCTCTTGTCACTTTCTCAACATGACCTAAATTCTGGCCTTTGCAGTCACATATCAGCCAAGCTGAAATCCAAGTAGGAGGAACATTCGTCACTCTCGAGTTTCTTTGAGAATTTCAGCAGCTGGTTTAAAAGTAGATGGAACAACAAATGTGCTATAACTCTGTTTTGATGGATTGTAAAGTTTTTTTGTCCATATGTGCCCATATCCTTGTTGTTCTGGGAACGTCAAGAGTGAATTTTTTTTAACTTAAATTGTGACTGAAAATTAAAGGTAGTTTTTCACTTCGGCAGCTACAGCCAAAATGCTAAGTGGGAATCTTAATCTGTTTGGCATGGTTTCCAGGGTCACTTAGAGGCAACAGTTTCAAATATTTTGGCAGAGTCGAATGCACCATTTTTAAAAAAATGTTCCAATTACTACTTCCTTTTTTCTGAAATTCTATATGGATCTAAGTTAAGCCTTGGTTTAAAAATAGTAATGTCTAAATGAAAGCAACCTGAATGTAAATGAGAAATTCAGACTATTCAGCAAACTTTGAAACCTTCACAGCTGAGTTTATTTAAATTCTGTGGGACTGTAAAAGGTTGAGATACAAGTTATTCTGAATCACTGTGCAAATTAAGTTTCCGATAAGTGTATGCAGCCTGTTTGTACCTATGATATATATGAGGTGACATATATATGATTGGAACCTGAAGAAATTACCATTACAGATCTATCTATTTTAAAATTCTAATACCAGTCGTTGAGAACACTCATTTTTCATATTTCAAAAATCATGAACACTTGACAACTATCAGCTGGATTTCATTCTATTTATATATGTTATAATGGGATAAATGCATTGTACTGGACTATTACCATTTAGAACTTCAAAATACTGGTACAGTATGTTCTTCATGTACTATAGCTGAAGTGCAGGAAACAGACAATTGTGTAAATCTTTATCTGTGTTTTCTTCATATAGCATACCATCTAACTATATATTTTTTTGAACAGACAGCAAGCTCTATTTCATGTACTTGCCGCCTATTCAGTATACAACACGGTAAGGAAATCAAGTTACATTCATAATATAAGGCAGGATATTAGTATAATAAATAGTATACAAGTAATCTAATGCGCAATACTCAGTTGTTGAATGTTAAACCTCTCATGTTACGCCTCTACGGATTTAAGTCATCTTATGGACGATTCAGTTTGCAGCCATATTTGTCAGTATTTTCAAACATTTGCTTCATGGAAATTTCCTCTGCTATTAAATTTGAAAGGTGAGGTTCTGTTTGAAGGGGGAGCAATGCATCTCCAGAACAGCTAGTTTTCTTAAGTGGATGCCTCCTGCCAGCAGGCTTGAGATGTACATCGTCACTTTGCTGACAGCAATACTCGATGTCAGCTGGAGAAGTGCTGATATCAGCACTCGGAATGGTTCTATCAGGAGCCACGTAAGATATTTGAATGAAACTGTAAACGTAGTCATTAAATTAATTTCCAAAAATACATAATATATTTGTACACTAAACAGAAACTGATGGAAATGGATTGCAGATTAACATTTGAAAGAGAGAATTAGATTAACAGTTCACCAGAACTCAGTGGTAAACTCTTATGATTGAGTTACTGTAGCAGTAATCCAGTATGAACCATAGGATTTTTGGTTTGATTCCTGGTGTGTGCTGAGTTAGCTTCTCTGCTCAGTGTTGCACCCAGCTCCACTCCACCAGGCAAAAGATTGGAACATTTTTGCAGCATATTAAAATTGCAGATCAGGTATGAAGGGATGATCAGAAGACAAGAAACAAGAGCTCCGTCTTAGATTCAAACCTTCCAAGCGATAAAGCCTCTTGCACTGATCAGCATTGCAATGAAAATTCCCGGAGTGAACCATCCATTGCTGAACGTAGGCAGGCAAGATCAGAATTGTGCTAGGGGCAATGCCAGGTATACCTCTGAGTGAGGTGAGGCTGGGAACATAAAATTAATTTTGCATGTACTCTGCAATGCACCCAGTTCTCTGGGTGTGTGAAATATTCTTAATAAAGTAGTATTTTATGAGAATTAACCAAAATTATCTTCATTGCAGGAGGTGAGCTACTGTCAGGGAATGAGCCAGATTGCAGCTATTCTACTGATGTATTTAAATGAGGAGGATGCTTTCTGGGCATTGTCTCAATTACTGACCAATAAGAAACATTCAATGCATGGTAAGCGTCTTAAGCACTCGTGATGCTATTGCGAGGATGATGATATCAGCGATGTAGCTTCTACATTGTGTGCTATGTTCTGCATACTCAAATCAGTTTATATCCCTCTTTTAGTCCTTCACATTGCATGAATGATTGTAAATTTAAAAAATATTTACTTTCCGATATGAGCAGTGTTTGTGTTTTTATAAAGCGCAAAATAATTGCTGATCAGATGAAAATAGTTTAGTATAGTTAGTAAGTGAAAAAAAATTATCAGCAAATTGACTTTTTTCACTCTTACCAATATCCTCTTATCCTTTTGAACTTTTTAACCTTTTTCTGTGACATCTTTAATGGGGAAGATAACATTGGGTAAGTACTATGAATAATAGTTTTTTTTTAAACCACCAGTTGTTATGTTACGGCTCCTCCATGGAGCCCCATGATATCTTTCATTTTAGAAAATTTGTGTGGTAGGGGAAAAGAGGAACATAAGTCAAAAGGATTTCTTGGAAGTGTATCTGTTCTCAACTCTGATGTCAATATATTTTATTTTTCCTCCAAAGTATTCACTCTTTCAAAAACCGTCAGGGCAGAATGGAAAAAATGTTGGTGGCTATATTCTGCCAGAAATTCCTTCTATATGACATTTAATAATTTGGACTGCAGAAATGGTGGATTAATACAGTTTCTTGCATGAATATTATAGAAGTAATGTATTTTTAAAAATATACATGCCTATTGCCCAGGTATAAGTACCTGCTCTTCATAATACAGTAATTAAAAATTGAGGTACTCTCCCGTACAAGTACTGCAAAGTAATCTCAATTGTATTTTAGTGGAAAAATCCTGTAAAGGGTTAAACACTATAGCTGAATAGAGATTCAATATTTGATAGGAATCCAATATTAAATCTCATCAGGATATCAAGGACAGCAAGTGGTGTTGCCACAGCATTCCCAGTTGGTAATACCAGGAGCTGGCAAACCTGATACAGTTGTACACACAGTTTTGATACTTTAGCGTCTGTTGCACCCAGTGTTAAGAATATGTTTGAATAGAATAGAAATGTCTCCTCCAATTAGTAAGGTGGTTTATTTTTATTCTCTCTTTTATGCAATATACAATACCAATTTTCAATGCTGAGTCGTTGAAGTCAATTTTGTGATTTTTTTTACTATTAACTAAAGAAACTTCTGCCTGTAAAGGAAATGAGCACCTACAAAATGAAGTAAAATTATTATTTTTAAAAATTTGATGTACTTTATCTAAATGAAACACATTTTTCATATATATTATTTCCACCTACTCTGCTGCGTTTGTGAAACGTCTTTGAGACATCTGAAAGCGCTTCACATACTTTATATACTCTAAAGTGAATTGACTATATTTTGTGGGCAAAACAAAAAGTTATTTGTTATCTCATGATCTTACAGCAATAGCCAAAATAAGATTTACATACATTCAAGGGATCTTGAACCCTTTCACTTGTATGAATCAAATGATACTCCAATCAAAAAGAATGCCACTGAAACAGTTAAGTCCTCTCTTATTCTGTGCAAACACCAGGTGCAGGTTTTAGCATAAAATACAATTGTCAATGCCATGTTGTACCCAGGCACAATTGTGACATTCTTTGCACAATGAATCTCATTTTTTCAAATTCTGTAGTTTGCTTAGCACTACATTTTATAATCATTTTTTCAATATGTGAAAAACTAAGGTAGCCTGATCTTCCAAATAAAATATTAGAACCAAATTTCAGTCATCTTGGAAATAAAGTATCAGCACGCCCACAAGATATATATATTTAAGGATGAGTTTACAAAGTGTAATTGTTAGAACAGAAGGGTCGCTGAGGGCTAGTGACTGCAAATTGGAACAATGACTATGTAGAAAATAAAGCACACTGATCTATTGTGCCATGCATTTCCCTTTTATATTCGCAGTTGTTTTTACTAGTTATTAGCAAAGAACATTGTGTAAAAAAAACGCTATTTCTGTAGCAAAAACAACAAAGAACCTTCTTTCCCATTCCTACTGTTTCAGCTTCAGAATTGCAGCTCAGATTTATGTGTCACTTGTAATAACTTAATGCAACGTTAGCAGTTTGTTTTTGCTCATCTAAGCATTGAATTTAATCAAAGCATTTGGATGATGCATTACTGCAATAGGAACAAAGGGGTTAAATTCATCACTTAAAGATAGATTTGATCTTTCTCAAATTTATAAATGTTTCAATTAATTTAATCATATAACGTGCACTTAACCATTTGGAAATATTGCATTTCTCTTTTGACTAAAAACTTTGGAGATTAAAGCAACAACAAAATTATATTTATATAGCGCCTTTCATGTTGGAAGGGTGTCCCATGGTGCTGGATAGTTGAGGGTTTGCACCTAAGCCAGGGGTTGGAATCAAGAGGGTGGGAGGGTGATCGAAAGCACATTCAAATAGGAAAGTCTTCAAATGGGTCTTGAAGGAGGTAATGGACGGGGTGGGGCAGAGGGATTCCGGGATGGACTTCCTGAGCGTGGGGCATAAAAGCTGAAGCTGAAAATGTGGAGTATGACATAAATATCCTAAGTGCTACCCAACTATACTGTCCAGTAAAAATGGTGCATAAACCTTAAATTAAGAACTAGTAGTAAATATTATTTGGTTAGCACTATTTGCATGATGGGAGTTAAATAAGTGCAAGTTGTTGTAACAATGGATGATATTTTCTAAGCATCAGTTGACCTTTTAATTTACAGTATGCTTATATTATGTCATCTACAGGAATAGTCTTAACAGTGCTTCACTTTTCTTCCTGTCTGCTTAAACTAGTACCTTTACATAATACGTTTTCTTTTGTTCTTTTTTCTTAAGGATTTTTCATTCCTGGATTTCCAAAGCTTCAAAGGTTTCAGGCACACCATGATCAGATTTTGAGTCGACTGTTGCCAAAGCTAAAGAAACATTTGGTAAAAAATTACAAATAATTATTTGTTCTTTTGACTGGAATTTTGATTAAACCATTCAGTTGTATTGTTTTTTTTTTCCTCTTATTTTACAGCGGGTTCATTATTCATTTATTTTGTTCAATATATTTTGATGGTTAGCGCATTTAATATTTGGATAGAGTAACAATACTTTTGTTACAATTGGCTGAATTAATTGAAATACATGTACAGTATTTGCTCTGCAGATTGTCTGCTAGATATAAGGATTGTACAGCAGTCCATGATGGTATTTCACCAGCCTAAAGGACCATGTATGCATTTGTTAACTTAAATTCTTCAAAGAAAAAGTTATGGTTATCAATCATAATAGAATTCAAGTATGCAAAGCAACAAAACTCATTGTCAGTTTTATTTCAAACAAATAATTTGGAACTAATATTCTAATAGTCAACAAATAGCTTTTCAATGATAATAGAATAATTTGGCTGAGGTATTGCTGACATTGTGCATCTCTACTTATTATTGTCCCATCTTCATTTTGGCTTACTGGATCTTTTTGGGTTGAACCATTGAATAGAATGTTTTACTTTTACCATGTTCCAGATTCCAGTGTTTTCAACAATTTATGAAAACCTACCCAATCAAACAAATGGACAGTACAGAATGTTTTCAACTTCTGTCACCATAAACAACAAGAAAATCTTTTCTACTGTAGCGAGTGAAGATGCTACTATTATTATCACTTAGAAGCAGGAGGAATTTCAATATAAAATATTGAGTTCTTTGATCAAACATTAACATTTTTAAAATTTCCATTTTGGACCTCCAAGGAACAAGAATAGGGCACAGATGGGTGAACTTAATTTGTCATGTAAAATTAATTGTCAACAAAGATTGTTTAAATAAATAGCGCATAAGCATGTTATATATCATTTCCATAAAATGCTATTTACTGTTAAGAGTAGCGACTATTTTTGTATGCAAAATGTCACAAATCCATGAGATGAATGAATAGAAGAAGAAACTCCCTTCTAATTTTTACCTGTGTTATGAGATCACGCCCTTGAATAAGCAGCACTTTGGTTTAACAAAGACTAATGCAAAAGATGGTACATCTGACAATCAATTTTTCCAGTGCTGCATTAAAAGTTATGCCAAATCTATTACCTCAAAACCAATGCACAATCAGCCTTTTGACCCAGAGCTGAGGATGTTGGTATCTGAATCAAGCTGAACCAGACCTTTAAATGAAAGTGGTACTTGGCTACAATTTCAGTTTTCTTAACTTTGTATTGTAGGACAAAGAACAAATGTCTACAGGAATATATACCACCAAATGGTTCCTACAGTGTTTCATAGAAAGAGTAAGTTGAATTTTATACTGTGTCTTACTCCTACAACAACAGCATGAATTTATGTAGCGCCTTCAAATAGAATAATATCTTTACAATGGTAGAGGAGTTTAGAGGTAACTGGTTAGTAACAATGGGCTTAGACTTCAAAACTACACAGAAGACTTATACCATTGCCAGCTAGTTGTTTCAAGTTTATATGTTTTATTCACAAAATGTTTTGATTTCCTCTGCTTCAATTGAGTTCAATTGAATAAATCAGCTATGAGATTGCATGTAAGGTGATTCTGTTATACAAAATAATTCTTGCATTTTTTTAAAAAAAACATTGCTCCTCCAAAGGGACAAATTCACACCCTCAGAATGTTAATATAATTTTTATTGTTAAATAGACACCATTCACGCTCACTCTGCGGTTATGGGATATCTACATTCTGGAGGGGGAGAGAGTCCTTGCTGCTATGGCCTACACCATCCTGAAACTGCACAAAAGTAAGATGACTCCTGCTACATTTTGAAATGATGTCAGAAAATGAACCCTTTTCCACATAACTAAAGTACTTCAGTGCAAAAAATTTATTTGAAAACTTTATATCATTGATATCTAATCTTGCCTGAACAATCTTTTTTTCCAAAATAATGCTTTCAATGATTAGTTTTTTGTGTTACTGGGGAATAATAGAATGTAGGTTTTTTATGTGGTAGAAGACATTTTAAATTCATTAAATGATAGAATGCCCACAAGAGGGAGCAGTGTGTGACAATGGGTCAGTTTCTGAAGGAAAAGCTGAATCCATTTCCAGTCCCATGATATAGAAAGGGAGGTTATGTTTAATACTCCCAAAACAATGTTGACAGGACTGGAGAAATCTACAGATCATTTACGACTCGTCTGAAGGAATATGCATCTTGCATGAGACATCAAGTTGGAAACAAATTTGTGTATGGGGAGGGGGAAGAAAGCACATTTCCCAATTCAGTATCTCTTAACATTGTGAAACTAAGAAGGAAAATAACTTTACCCTCCTGAACCCAATATTCTTTTCTTACTTCTTATAGTGCCCAGATTAACATTTACAGTATATCTGGATTGCTTCTAGTAAAAATTCCTTGTCTTACAAAGATAAAACAAACAGGATCTCACACTACAACATTTGTTGTGGACACATATGCCTGCTGAAAAGTTGTTAAGATATGTCTTTCAAGACATGTTTCACAATAGGATTATTTCACAGAAACTGTATCCTTTCATTTTGTAACCTTCATTCTCACATTCAAAGAACTGAACAGTCATGAACACTAAATCATAGGTGGTATTTCATCATGGATACAACTAGCTCAATTTGAGCCCTATCGGAATGAATCTTTCACTATTTATCACACATCCTGCATTGAGCGTGAGCTTTTACAGGCAGTAACCATATCCTGTGTCAATGTACATTCAGGCATTTAACCAGATCTTGTACATAAATTAAGCTAAATGCTAACGACTTAAAGACTCACAATTACTTAGCAGAGTATTGAAAGAAAAATTAGCTTCTGAGTTAAACATTGCTCTTTTGAACCATATCAAAAAGGTGTGTGTGTGTGTGTGGGGTTATACCTGTCATTTTAGTCTTCTGTGAAATGTAAACTCTGACAAAAAGGAGACAACAACCCGCAGACCTGTGCTAGTGTTCCTCCAAGCAATATTCGAGATGTACAAGGCTATGTGTATAATATATATTTTTTAAAATCAAAGGTTTGAGTGAGACTTGCTACAAAAACAAAAACAACAACAAGATTACATTTGTATAGCGTCTTTGATGTCGGGAGGATGTCCCAAGGCGCTGGACAGTATACAGCATTTCAGACCCTAGCTGGGGTCAGGGGAGAGAAGGGAGGTGAGGGGAAGGGGGGTGACCAATGGCATAGTCGAAGAGGAGGGTCTTGAGGCAGGACTTGAAGGATGCTATGGAGATACAATATTTACTTCCAGTATTTCTGTAATTAAAATCAGTGCAATGTATTTTGGGTTTGAACATTTCTTTGTCACACCAGTAAACAGAGCGTTACAAAATAAGTAATTTTTTTCCTAGGTTTCCATGTGCCAAAAACATTAACCAGAGTGGAATAAATTGACTTCAGTGCTGATATTTGCTGGTTCAGAAGGTTGAAATGTAATACTGAACCTTTAGATAGCAAAAGCTCCAGGAAGTGGCACAGAGTGCAGTTATCAGAGTGAGAAAGGATGTGGGTTTGAGTTCACAGCTCCCCATGTTGAGAGTTACCAAATCTAACTGTGTCGTCTTGGGAAAATTATCTTTTAAGATTTGACATGACCTCAAAATTCTATGACTATGCTTTCCCCAATCATCTTATCGGCAAAGGATTTTTTATATGCATAGTGATTAGGAGCAGGAAGCCTGAAATTTTTTCCACTTTCTCTAACCTAAAACTGTTATGGCCAGTTATAATTTCTTGGGGGAACGGGGTCAGTGGAAATTGGGTTGGTGGAGGCAGGGTCTAGCTTCCAACATTGTTTAGGGATATCCGGGTACTTGTTTGCATTGAACTTTTATGTTTTATTTTGTGTAGTTATTCTTACCAACCTATTGTTAACTGATGTTTTCAATTCACACATTTATATTTCAGCATCTATATGATGTGTGTAATGGACTTATTAAATTAGTAGAATGATACTTCAAAAGGTGTGGTTTTTTTTCAGAGCGTTTGCTGAAAATGTCTTTAGAACACCTCAGAGAATTCCTTCAGGAATTGATGTCTAAAAACTTTCAGTATGAAGATGATTATGTTATTGAGCACCTACAAGAGTCAATGTCTGAACTAAGAAAAATAAGGCTTGAACTTCCACCACCAGGTATGCACATTCATAGAGTGCCCCTTGTTGATTCAAAAACTGAACTCTTCCTCGGGAACTAATAGAGCCAAAACAACAGCTGAAGCCTATCAAATAAGACATCAAAAGACCAAATCAAATTATTTTGTTTCAAGCTAAAACACGTTGTCGCTGCCGCTTTTCGGCCACAAAATGTACAGTCAATTCACTTTACAGTATATTCTGTGAAGCGCTTTGAGGCATCTTGAAGATATGAAAAGCACTATGTCAAATGCAAGGATTATTTTTATTATTATAAACACTTCAATTACACCTGTATTCAGTGGCTATTTTTTGTAGGGGTTGCAGAATGCACTATAAGTCTTCAATGAGCGCATTAGAAATTTCTGAAGTTGTTAATTTTGATTTCTATATCAAGCCTCAAACTATTCAATTTTTGTTGAGCAGCCATTTTCATATTGCCATATCAGCAGAACAGATAGACAGCACCAAAGGAATTTTTCATATATGTAGCTAGGTATCTAAGTGAAATATGTCATAAACCAGAGCTGCTTTTTTAATCGTTCCTGTGCTCTTTCCTGCGCATATGTCTGAAATACTTGCTGAAAATTTGGATTCTGACACCATCTTGTGGTTATTGTGAGGTATTTCATTTAAAAATAGTTATTGAGATCTTTTGTCTGCCATTATGCTTAGATACATGGTCAGTAAAAGTAGTTGTCACAATGATTGAGTTCAAAGCCAACCTGAGGCAGCCAATGAACGTGACAGCCAATATACCTGTCTGCCTTCCAAGTAATCTCAACTTTCTTTCTAATGATCTTGGTTTATATGTGCTTCCTCATCCAAATTCACCCCCAAAATGCAAATCAATTAGGTATGCACCTCTTTGCTTTAGGATATTGCTAGAGCAAATCAGCCTCCGAATCAGCTAAAGTTGAACAGTTGAAGATAGTCTCCACTCAAGGCAATAAAACATACCCCCAAATAAATCCATAATTAGTTTATTCTACCATTGAACTAGTAATTCATATTTATATACATTTTAAAGTATAAATCTTCAGACACACTTCCAGTGAGTTCTTACAGAATACCTTGTAATACTGTCTCTGGAACATCTCTGTTCTATTACCACTGCTTGCTAATTGGAAAAAACTATCCCTTGATAATAATTACCAGCAAGTGGAGGAAACACTTTTCCAACACTAGATGGCAATACAGTAAGTCTTGTTTGTTTTTTCTCCACTAACGTTGTAACACAAACTATGGGGAAGAATGGGGAAGAAAGTATGGATCATATTATTCATCTATAATAATAGATTTTGAGGTAGGTGAGGTGAAGAAGCAGGAGGGGAAGATCAAAGAAGTGGAATTAGCTGAATGGATAAACTAAAACACAAGACCTAAAAATTCACAACTTATTCTGAAAATTAGTTTTATGTGTGTATTCTCAATCACATTTATATCATTGCTTCTCCTTTCGCATCTTGGCAGGCCATATGGCATTCTCCAAGCTGAAAAGGCAAACAGGTTGACTGCTCCCAAGGCCCTGAGTTCTTCTTTGAGTCAGCTTCTATATCTTGCAACTGATGGCCTCATGTTGACTTGAACTTTAAATTCTCCCTTCTCTTTGACTGCTCTGGTCTCAACTTGGAACATAACTTCCCAACATGGGCTTAAACTCTCTGGGTTCAGTTAAGTAGGGTGTGTCTCTCTGGAGAAAGTGCACACTCCATGACAGTCAAATAAAGTTATATGTGGAACTGTCAATTGTTTGGTTTAGAGACTCCCGTCTGACCAAAACAAAACATCCATCTTTCAAGTGTGTCATATTGTAGTGTTCTGCCTCATTTTTCAAATTATGCTGTGATTTTTGATTGTTTAGGCTTAACTTTTACAATCTAATGAATTATGCTGCCCATTTTGACTTTTATCCTTTTCTTCTGATCTCAAAACTCTTGAAATAGAAGTTCTAAAAAAATTAAGTTCATCTTTTACACTACTTAAAGCATTCAGAGCATTGAACTCTGTTCAGTTAATATTGTCAGAAGTTGTATTTCATTTTGGCTTATGTTGGCACAACGACAGAGGATTGTATAAGGCAGTTCTTGACATAAGTCGTTCATGAGTGTGTCACAATAATTTTTCTTGCCTTGGGACGTCCTCCCGATGTGAAAGGCGCTATATAAATGCAAGTTGTTGTTGCTATTCCAGCATGTTACAGAGAGTCTAATTTTAAAGTGTTTACTATCCATTTGTTCAGACCTTGGAATAATCGAATAGTTCTTGCATTGCTTCAATTGAGCAATTATTCCATTTAAAATCTTTTTAAAGTTTGATGCATTTGTATCTTGCCCATTTGCCAATCACACTTCTGAATCAAAAAACAATGAATCAAAAAATAGTTATTTTATATATATTTAGTTTATAACCTAATTGCTTTCATAACTTAGCATATGATGAACCTAGAGTTTCATTTGCTAAAATTGTGAGCTTTGTTTTCTTTTTGTTTTCTATCACTCTTTCTCTTTCCTTTGTATAACCTCTATCAATCTTGTTGATTTTTTATTAATTTATCATCTATTCTGTCATTTATTTCCTCAGTTGATTTCTGTCTTCCTGTGTCCAAATGACATTCTCATCTCTCTCCGTTGACATCTGGTGGGGCATTATGTTTGCTACACTTGTGTCCAATTTGTTCCTGTGTGTTTTTAGTTAGCTATTTTGGTTTCATTTGTTATGAGTGCATAATCTTTCAATAAGCTTCTTATGGTATGGCTTATAATTCCCACTAGCTGAAGCAGTTGTAATTCTCACTACCTGAAAGAAAATCAGAATATTGCTATAGTCTTCTGGCTGATAACACCTGCTTTCAGCTTGTCCTCCCAATGTGAAAGGAGCTATTCAAATGTAATTTGTTGCTGTTGTCCAACATAGATCCACATTGGATTTATGTGACATGAAAGTTTTTCGTTTTGCTTCACGTGTTTGAATTAAGTCTAGAGAGTATTGAGAATAACAAGAATCAATATTGAATTTATTTAGCGGTTTGTTGCTTTAATTTTTTGTAAGATTTTCATACTTAAACACCATTTTCTTTCACTTTTATTCTATTTAGCTAAACCCGACGAGTTTCCCAAGACACCATTAGGGCAGGAAATTTCTTTATTACAAGTGATGACCACTGTCATGGTCAACGGCAAGAATACAATGCTCCAATCTCGTTCAAATGATTTGCAGCCTGATAGAGAGGCAGAAAAAAGCCAAATCCAGCTTTCTGTTCCTGAGTCTTCGGAAAGTAATAAGGTCTCTTCCATGGAGACGTTGCAGGCACAAACATTGGAAATGTACAAAGATCAACCTCCACTGCAGGATGTATCTAGACATCCTAAAGAAGACAAGATACAGTTATCAAAAGAAGGTGAAGCTGTTTCTTCAGAAATGGACCCACTTCAGTTCCCAGCAAAAGGGACAAAGCAGTATCCAGAAGAGGAAGATACTTCATCTCAAAAGTGTATGGCTCATATTGCAGAAAATGATCCAATTCTATGTTTAGAAAATATTGACCTTGTACTTCCAGTAAGCGAAACAGCTGACTTTCCAGAAGAGAATATAATCAATTATATAAGCATGAGCAAAGCTGAATTTGCAGAAACAACTGTAATATCTGGAACCCAATCACTACAAACAGAGCCATTATGTTCTTCAGAAATTGATCAAACTCAGGTGATTGAAAATGTAACAGATTCTCCAGAAAAATTCAAGGCACCTATTACAGAGGAGGTAGATGAACAGTCCCTGGATCAAGAATATAGAAATAATGAGCCTTCTCCAAATAGTTGTCATGGAGAAGTGGTGGATTGTGATGAAATTGAAATACATTTTCCAGATCCTCCAGAGATGTTATGTGATGAAATGCATTTGTTAAACCCAAGAGTGTTGGAAACATCGGATATTTATCCAGATCTGAAAGACCCTCAACTAGGGGAACCACATCCCCCTATTAATCAATCACAACCTACGATAGTTCAGTTTTCATCCTCTGGAGAAGAGAATCCATCCCTTGGAGGTTTGCCAGAAGGAATTTCAATGTACATGGATAGCAAAGGCACAAAAACTGTGGCAGAGCATCATAATGAAAGACGGGCCTCAAATGTTTCTGAATATGACAATTTGTCAGATACAGAATATAAATATGATCAGATTATTTCAGAACCAATAAATGAAATTAAAATTATTGAAGTAACAGATGAAAACGATGCACTGCCTCAGAAGGAGCATGTTTTAACAGAGGCAGAGAACACTTCTGTCAGCACACCTAATCTTTTTATGTCTTTAGAATTGTCAGATAAACCACAGCTTACCAAACATGCTTCATTTACACATAAACAGTCCTGGGATGTTTGCACTCCTGTACACCATATAATGCCTTCTCACCAGAGTCTTTCCAGATCTTCACCAGCTGGGCTTGAGTTGGACCCCATCAGAAATTTAAATTCTCAGAATCCTGCACATTTGCTTCCCATCACACAGACTTCTCCAGTCAGGCAATGTTTAAATAGCTCCTGTAAAATAGTCAAGTCTATAACTCCAGTTCACTTGGCATGTGCAGCTCAGCAAAACTTTCTAAACTTCAAGCATATAGCACTGACTTTAGAGGATGATGATCCACATTTACTTGCAACGTATGATGAAAAAGGGATTTGTGCAATTCAAGAGAATGCTGCAAGTGGATTCACTGTTTCAGTTCCTAAAGTATTGTTGGATAAGGATGTAAGCCCAATCAAAATACCAACATACAGTGCAGAACATCCTACTCCTAGTACACAAATGCATCAAGAAAGTCTGAGAGCTGAATCCACAGAGTTGAGTGCAGAGACCTGTTTACCACCATGCGCAGAGATCCAGGATTCTGAATCTATTATGTTATGATAGCAGCCAGGCAGAGTTAAATGCAACATACATCTACGACTGCAACATACATCTACAAGATTTACCAATGATCTCAGTTCCATAATACCATGTAAGCATTTATACCATAATAGTTAATGCATATATTTTTAAATTATTCAAATATTTTTATGATTATGGTTTATTAAGAACTGCATGGATATTTTATCCATGCACCTTGTATTATTGCATATAATTGGTATAACGCGGCTATAAATTATTTTAGTTTACGTTACTCTGCACTCAGAAAACATGAAGGCATTGTACATCAAATACTTTTGATTATTTTTTCCATTAATATCTCTCAGCAAAATATCTAATTTGTTGGCAGAGTGCTTTGTGGATGCTAAACTGGTATGCAACCACGATCAAATTTTGTGAGAAATTTAAATAGGTGTGAGCAGGCTCACAGTATTCCGTGTATTGCAGCAGCAGAATTTGCAGGCTTGTAAGAAACAATTTTTACATTTTCTTAAACCGATTCAGTTTTCATTGGATTTCTAAGGAGTTGTTTTTACCTAAACTTGACAGAGTAGTAGACAGCTGTGTGACTCATAAACAGATAATAATTTGGTTGAAAAATTGTAACATTTATATGCAGCTAAAAAAAGGAGTAAATATATACAAATTTATTTTCTAACAAAAGTAGCAGAATTTTACATTCTTTACAACAACTGTTCAGTGGATAGTTAAACGTTTTTTGACATGACTTACTTTCTATGCTTTTTAAGGATGGTGAAAATGTTTTAAGTTAAGTTATTCTAATGTGATGCCCAAGGACCAGAGGTGTAGCTGTTGATGTTTACTATAAATCTTGGGGAAACATTTGATAATTTTGTGCTGAAACTACCTGTAATTACTGAGGAAAATAATTGAATTGTCCCTGTCTCACTTCTAACTATTCTTTGTAAACTTAACGGTCACTGTCAAGAATAGTATGTGGTCAACTCAGGAATATGACATTCTTTCTTGGTAACCAATGGGAGACTTTTTTTGGTGATCGATGGGAGACTTATTATTTTTAGTGAACAGATGAGGACATTTGTAGCGGTGCTCTGATCACATAAAATGCTTGGAAGTAAATAATAGATGTTTTAGTAGAAGAAAATATTAACCAATGGGGAAAAAAAACCCTGAATGAATATATTTAACTGATGTGTGATGTACATAGTTTTTTTTTGTAAAACCGGTTCTTAATTTTGCACTTTTTGTAAGCCTGTTACAGATGGGCAAGTTGCTTTTTTTCTTAAAAAGCTATAAAGGCTTCCATGTAGATTGATAACAGAAAAATGTTTTTACTCTACTTGTTAGAATTTTGTAAATTTACTTTTTCGGGGGATTGGTGTTGCCCATGTCTCTTTATTTGAATATTTGTAAACCAGATTTAATAATTTGAAATAATGTATAAACATTTAGTGTCATGCTTGATGTTGTTTCTGAACACCAACAACATTGGAAACAAAGCTTTAAAAAGATTTTGATGTGTTGCCTTGTAACTTAAATTCTCAACAATTAAAAGATTATGTTTTCTCCTTTTTGTACCACATAAGGAAAATATCAAGGTTCAACTTTAAAGAGTGATACTGACATTTGATTTAGTGCGTGTAATACCAAAATGACTCAACGCTTCACATTTAGTTTGCAAGATTAGCTGTTGTTTTGAAGTAAGTTGACTGTAACTCCAGCAGTCATTTCACGCACAGCAAAGATCAACCAAAACCTGTAAAATGATTGAACAAGAATTGTTCGTCAAGATACTAAAAGAAACACCCTTCTCTCTTTCAATAGTGCAATGAGATCTTTAATGAAAGGCAGACAGGACGTTGGCTTAACATCTCATCTGAAGGACAATAGCTCTAACAATGCCTCCTTCCCTCGTGAGAAACTCTTCTACACCCTTCATCCCTCCCTCCCACACGTCCCCATGCTGCCCCTGCGATCTCTCGACCCAGCCGTTTGCCCGGCAAACACCAGTTTGCTTTATGTCTGCCCCCCCACCATCCCAACTGCCTCACCATTTTGGCCCCCGCTCTCGAGGTCAATTCTTAGAGGCCCTCTTGACTCCCTCCCTTTTCAGTGGTATCATAGCAGTTTTGTATAGGTTTTGAAATATTGCAGTTTACAAGCCTATACAATAGTTTCACAGTTCATCATACAACATTATCATGACCAACTGGTCAGTGTAGCTGCACGAGAATGGGGGGGTGGGGGGGGGGGGGGAGGTGATAGGCTCATAGAGCTGCAGAGTTTTGAATAAATAGTCTGCAGCTCGTGGAGGGAAAAGTTGGGAAGTCCAGCTAGCATAGAGTTAGCATAATCAAGCCTGGAGGTGATAACATGGCTAGGTGTCTTGGCGACATGGTCGGAGGTAGTGGCAAAGGCAGGCTGAGGTGGGGGAAAACTGAATGGGTTAAGGCATGGAGATGGGGTTTAAAGCCAGATGAGAGTTGAACAAGACACGGCTTCTGTGCAGGCTCAGTGAGTTGGAGTTGGGCATCCATGAAACGTGATGCTAAGGTGAGAAGATGCTGACGGGAGCCTTTTGTTGACATTCAATTGGAGATGATCTTGAGAAGTTTTTTTTTGAAGATGGGGTGATGACAGCTATTTTGAAGTGATGGGGGAAAGGTAAGTTCTCTATAAGATATTTGAAATTAAGAAAACTCAACCCTTTCAAACATCTTCAGTGTTCATTTCTGTCTTCAAGTGTCATCTCCTTCATACTTTATTGCAATTAATTTAATGCAATTAACAAAGAGACTTTTTTAATTTATTCAGTACTTACGTAAATCTAAATAAACATATTTTATAGTGCAAATGATGCCATGACTGATGCTTTTGCTCAATAATATTTAACATGCAATTCCAAGGAGCTAAGAAGGCATCAATTTGAGATCTTCCAAGTCGTAAAATTGGAGATGACTGAGATACAATGTGTGAAATGGCCAAGGCCACCGAGTGCTCTTTATCCTCTTCCTGCTTCCATTTGGGAAAGTGTCCAAGTATTGAACAAACAGCTGCATTGAAACTAATGCACCATTCTAAATTTGCTTCAAAGTTCTTGTTGAATAAACACAAGCAGGAAACCAAACACCAAAGGAAATTCTATTCTTATGTAGTTCAAGGTACTTTGAGGAGGAAAATTCATTTTAAAATGGGTAGCAGAATGGAAACAATTCTAATACAATTCTCAAACCATGTGTTTGTAGCAAACACTCAAATTTGTGAGCAGCCAACATTATTTACAATTGTCATTTATTTATGCTGCAAAATTAACCGAAGCAAAATACTTTAAAGTTATTTAGGATAATGATCCAGTTTGGGAAATAGTTTTGGCTACAGACTTCCATCCAGCCTCAAATTGTTTTATTTCACTTTGGCATCAAGCTTTACATCTGATGTCTTCTGAAGCTGAATTCTGTGTTTATAAAATCTTTTTTGGCTACATCTGAATTTGGCATTTCATGTTAATAATTTCATGGTAATAATTCTAATTGTCAATAACTGTAGTTAATTCTTAAATTATATTTATTTTAAGTTTTCAGTGTAGCTATTCTTTCTCGTCTCTTCTGATGGAATATAAAGAACTCCATACCCACCTTATTGATCCCCTCTCCCCAAGTTGCTTCTTTTGATCAATAAGGACATAAGATGTGTATAGATTTCATTCCTAAATCTGCTTGATCAAAATTTGTCTCCTTGAAACATCATACGTTTCTGCTTGCCATCTACAGACATACTTAGAATTAAGATCATTAATAAATATTACATATGAAATAGTTCCAGGAACAGTTACTCTGGGAAACAAAACCATCCATAGTTGCCCAACAAGAACCTTTATGATGAACTACTATCTTATTTTCTACTATTTAGTCAATTCATTGTACATTTTAGCCATTCATCTGATGCATTTGATCTCATATCAAATGATTTCTGAAAATCATTTCCGATGAATAATCTCACATTTCCTTCATTAACAGTTTTGTTACATCTTTTTAAATCAGTTCAATAAATTTGTTCGCATTAAATTACATTTGACCAACTTTTGTCGAATTGGATTTACTGGCCTAACTTTTTATTAGATGTTAAATTATCCCCTTCTCATGGCTTGTAGTACATTGAAACAAATGCTCAGTCAAAAGATCTGGAATTCTTATTTTTGGGGGATGTCTGACCCATATGGAAACCCATCATCGTACTTAAGAAGATCCAAACCAAACAGAGTTCAGTGCATCCCACCTATATACATGGAAATTCTCGAGGTATTTTGCACTCTTCCTGGAGAAACATGTCCTGCTTACCTAAATCCAGAGATTATTAGATGCAGGTTGGCAAGAGCTAAGGCTTGGGGATCCAGTGTACTTTGGGGTACTGCTGGAGTCTAGCTAGCCAAAACTGCACACCTTACCAATGCTTGTCCAGTTTTCAGTCTTAAAATGTCAAAATATTTCAAATTTGTCATAAATGCTGCTCTATTACCCAAAAGATTTTTGTTGGCAGAAAGAAAGTTAGTCAATTTGTTCCATCTGAATAGGCGAGGAAAGAGTGTATCCACTTAGGCTTCCGATTCTGTAAGTATTTTTAAAAATTATTTTATCACGTTATTTGGTTTGAAAATATTGATGGACAAATTTTCCCATACATGTCTTTTTTTGTAACAGTACTCCTTGCCCACCAGACTACCCAAACCATCACTAGCTACAAACTATCCAGAATTCTGCAGCTCCTGTCCTTTCCTGCGCTTGGCTCCACAAACCTATCGCCCCCATCCCCGCCTGGCTCCCCATTCCCCAGCGGATTGAGTTCAAGAACCTTGTCCCAACCTTTAAATTCCTCCATGGTTTTTGCCCCACCCTAACTCTGCCACCTTCTCAAGCCCTACAAACTCACCTGCTCCCTCCACTCCTCTAACACCAACCTATTTTCACACCCCCCGCCTCACCATCAGCAGTCACTCTTTCATCTTATCCCCCCACCTACTCCCTGGAATTCCATTCAAGTGTCCCTACGAATCAGTCCCTCCCTCACCTCCTTCAAGGTCCACCTCAAGATGTTCCTCTTTGACCATGCCCTTGGTCATTTTTTCCCCCTCTGCAACCCCAGCTTAGATGCATTGCTGGTCTGTCCAGCACCTTGGGACGTCCTCCCTATATGAAAGGCACAATGTAAATATAAAATTGTTGTATATATAGTGTGTTTGTGAATCAGCAGTTGGCTCCGAGGCCCAAACTTGGCCAAGAGGGCGCTCTTCTGCTTCCACCTCACTTCCCCGCACTTGTTCTGGGTACATGTTGAACACTCAACGCGGCGATGGGTTCAGAGGCTTATTCATAGCCTCATATATTGACATTTATAAATAATAATGGAGTATTAGCTCTGGATTTCTTAAAATATATTATGCGTAAAGCTTCACCCCCCTCCTCCCCCACCCCCGTAATATACGTGGAAAATAATTACTTAATGCAAAATATTGACCACGTGTAGATTAAACCGAATATTATATTTAAAACTCAATGTGGGCATGTCTGCCAGTATGTATAGATAGTGAATATGGGATTTTTAAAAGGACCATAAAGCAACATTGAAAAGCTTGCTTTTGGAGACTGTGTAGTACAGTGAGTTAATAGACCAGCCTTTTATCTCTGAGATCCCCGACCCTCCATCCTAAACTTTTATGTTAATGATTAGTTGAGGTTTAGCAAATTAAATTAGTCATAAAAACACAATAAAACCACTAACAACGATTTATGGAGAGGGGAGAAAAGAATTATTGTTGGAATGATTTTTGAATTCTGTTCTTAAACCTTTTGCAACTTTTGTGGTTTTATAACGTCAATGATCCTAAGGAAATACCTGACATGTTGTCACCAAGATTGATTTAGGAAGATTGTGTTTTATTGTAAGAATACTTAAATGAAATGTCAGTTTCACCAATGTTTACTGCAATTGAGTCACTAATGTAAAACTTGGCAAATTGAAAGCACCCTGTCTGCTGTCTATTGAATAGTTCCAAATATTTTTTACATTTCAATAATTTATGGTCTAAAGGTTATGCATGTCAAAAGACTACCAACAAAACCAATTGACCAGCATGAAATCTATAACTGAAAAGGAACTTTTATTTTAAGTGACATACGGTGCCTGTAAAATACTCATCATCAACAACATATTAAAGAATAAAATGTTCTTATTTCATCAAAGATTCTTCAACCAGAATGAAAACAATAACATTTCTCTTCACCCAAGTGGTTGGTTAATGTAACTGATGTGCCAACAGTCATTTATTCTATGAAGAGATAAATTAGATTTGTAATTGATATATTGATTTTTATTACAGATATAACCCAGAGTTCTTGTCCATGAAACATTTTGTTTTCTTCAGTTAACATGAAAATGTTATGTTCCTAGACAAATTGCATATCCAGCTGGTTTTAAGAAGTCCATAAAATGAGTTTTGTGTTAGATCCAAGATTCCAAGCAGCAGTCTACTGTGAGGTAACCCCTTATGAGTTCGATTTGGGTATTCAGTGCACACTTTTACAGTTTTTTGACATAAATTTGTGACGGTAAAACCGCCTTCAAACAACTTGATTTCCTTTTCTGTGTAAAAATACTTCCTTCGGCCCCATCAACTCTTCAGAATGCATAATTCTGTCTCCAACTTGAGTGCTGTTGCTTTAGCTGGGACCCTTGGCGGCACCATTCTCGCAGCACTTTGCTAAATATGACAAAAAAACTTTATAAATTCATTACTCAGCCGACGTCTGCCTCAGGTATCCAACTACTTACTCTCCGACACCGCATTTCTCAACTTCATTGTTTCGACTGCAACTGACTATCTGCAAAGTGGCTGCAGGAGAAGCACGTTGCTCGGTTTGGGGAAATGATTGACTATTCTTAGCGAGGTCCTAGTCAAAGGGAACGTTATGCAATTACATGTGGGGAATTGTTTGCATAGTTTATATAGGATGTCACAGAAAGCAAAGAACGATTTGTCATTCCTACTCTGTAACTGGCTATTTCGGGATTCACAAGACTTGCTCTCCAGTTCTACCCACCCTCAGAGGAAGCTTCACTCAGCCACTCAACGTTCAACATGTAGGTCTTGTAGTTGTTGTTGCAATCCTGGAATTGGGGTTACCAAATGTGTCGCTTTTGTATAGTCTTAATAGATCAAAAAAAAATGCGTTTTAACTGAAGGTTATTAGGATCCATAATTGCTCACACAGTGTCTGATCCCTGTGGCCAAAAGGATAGTACTCAACCAACTGCGCCATATTCTTGTAGCATATGCAGCTCATCTCATGGTAAAACCTGCAGCACTGCATAAAGTGTTGAAAGGAAGCCAGAAGCTTCACCAGGTGAAGGCAACTGGACTATTACTGTCACACTTGCAAAATAATATTCTATTTAATTATTCTGGAATCTATAGGAAGAAATGTTGGCAGTTTTTCCTCGGGAGTTTAAATAATTTGTGTAGAATTCAGATTGCACATGGTTCTGTGGTGTATTGGTCTTGATGAGATAAATATACTTTTCTTGTTGCATTCTTTAATTTCATAGATTTTGAAGTGAAATCACCCGTTTGCTCTCACTGCTGATGAACAATGTAGAAGGAGGTTAACTGTGGGGAGAATAATGTAAAATACAGATTTCAATCTATTGTAGTTGCCAGTTCTGGTCACATTTTGCCTTATCTCTGGATTAAAGTCAGTGTTGATATATTTCTGCGTAGGTACAAAAGAGCACAGCAAAATGAAATCTCCTATTTAGTCCAGTCGCTTGGAAATGACAGGATTAGATAGATTCCTTAAGGCTGACTTACTCCATCGTGAGAGAACGCACGCAAATTGTATTTAATTGGTGGGAGGCAGGGGGAGGAGAGACACTTAAAATCCGTGACATCTCTGAATCGTCGCGTAGAATAATTGTGATTTGTCATTTTCCGACAACGCTCATTTGCCTTTTTCCTGGATCCTTTCGGAATCTGGGAAATATTAAGAGGTTTTTGAAATGCCTGAAAAACTTAATGCAGTCGTCGTTCTTCCGCTCCCACTGTTATTGCAGTGCTCGAGTCTGTGGGCGATTTAGGCGAGACACGTCGAACAGATTTGTTTGGGGGCAGGGAATTTTCGGATTATTTTATCTCCTTGCCCAGCTTGAATTGTTTTTAGTGCTTTCCGCAGTTCCGAAGAATGCCTAACCTTTTGGACCTACACAGAAACCACAGCAATCTTGAGCAAAAGAGTCGTGCTGACTGGAAATGATCTCTCCAGGCTGATTTATTGCTCTTAATCATTTATTTCGCTCCTCGTCCCTGTCGGGTTCACGGTAGCGAGCTCTAGATGGCAGCATGGTTCCAGCAATCGTCTTTGGATTTGTTTTCGGCGCAGTGATGTCAATAGAAACAATAGTTCATAGTTTCTACGTGACATTACTTAAACACATAAGCGAAGAGGAAAAAAAATACGTGCTGAGATGCAGATCGTTTTTTGAACTCCAACCTTTGTTTTCTTGATGGTTAGAATCAATTTAAAAACAAAAACACTGCATGGACACTGTTCCTAATCATCTCAAACAATAATCCCCGTATTCGATACAGGGGCTTTATATCCAAGTCGTCGAGATGTCCAAGAATTTTACCATACAGTGTAGTGACTGTATTTTGTCGGTGAATGCGCACAGATATGTCCTGCAAACTGCTCTGAAGTGAATGAACAATTTTAACTGGGGATTACTGACCTGGATGGATGGACTGCAGGAGAAACCCATTTCACACAGTGCCTTGGGATCTTTAACGTCCACCTGAAAAGTCAGGTGGGATCTCGGTTTAACACCTCGGATGGCCACCCTGGAGTGTCAGCCTAGACTATGAACTCGAAGTCTCGATGTGGGGCTTAAACCCACAACCTTCTGACTCGGAGGCAATATTGCTGGCAGCTGAGCCAGGCTGACACCTCATTTTAACAATTTACCAGCATTTCATCTGTAGAACATTTCGATTAAAGCTCTTTAATCTCCTTCCAAGACCTATCATTGCCATCCCTGTGGGCACTGGAATCTAAATGAATCAAAACTGCAGAACAGGTCAGGACTGCAGTACGTAGTGTACTATTTTGCTCGACGCAGCGTTGAAAGCCATCGCACGAATCCACGTAAAAGGCGTTTGAATCCGTTGCGTGAAACTGCATTTGAGTATAAATAAAACCGTGATGCATTTGTGATAGTTCAGCCTATGGGTGGGTGGCAGCGGGGCTAAAATGTAAAATTATAAGCATCAGTAAGTCTATGACCAGCGCAACTGCACAACAAGGTCAATGTTTTTGAGGATATTGCCCTGGTGAGTGAGTTAGATATTAATCTCAGACTGGTGACACGAAGGTTCAAACTGGCAGGCAGTTCTCAGGCAGTTCTCAGGACTTTTCTCTCTGTAAATCCTGCAGTTCTGTATTAGTGGGAATCAAATTAGCTTCAGATGGTCCTGCAGACTCTTGGGAGCACCGTAGACTCAACTGTATTCTTTTGTTCTGAGCTGTGACTTCCTTTTATTTCATTTTTGATCATCAAAATATCAGACAAGACGAGTCTGTGGTAATATCCCGCCGTTCAATCCTCCTGGCGCCGTTTCTTAACCCCTCCAATCCACTGTGTATAACCTTAACATCAACCCTGAGTGCGTCAGTCGTCAATGTGGGCACAGGACGTGACCCAAGCGATGGTAACTATTGTGTAACACAGTAGTAAAACCCTTAACCCTGGATTAGTCGGATAGAAGAAGAACGTCTGGAAGGAATTGATAACCCTGTATTGTGTGCTTTCTCCCTTTATACACTTATGTGCTCTGATATCGGGCAGAGTGGACATTCTGTGTGTTATGCAGAATTCTGCCTACAACAATAACTGTCCACAATGGTGATGGGGATATACAGTACCACTCAATACTCTTTTAACTCGTTCCTGGGACTCTGCTGCAGCCCACAAACCACAAGCACGTAATCGACCATCTTAAAGTATACAAAAGTAATTTTCTGAGTATAAACGGATGGTTGAAATCTTTTGTCACTGTGCTCCATTTAGTCTTAGCACCGAAGGGCGCTACAAGTTGTTTGAGATCATATCCTGAAAAGGGAATACAACAACCACAGATGGCATTACTGTACACAAATGTTTATTATATTTAACAATTGACGAAAATAGATTGTACTACATATACAGCCATTGCAAGTCTGGAATGTACAAAAAGAGTCGAGTGACTATACAGTGAACATTTGGCACTTTTATGATAACATACACACCGTTCTGTTCTGTTTGTTGCTGCTACAATGCCCTTATACATTTATATCAGTATAAAAATAATTCTATTTCCAGATGTAAAGTTATGGGGTGGGGGGGAGTGTTACATTTAAATAGTTTAAACAATTTATATACAATGTCATTCATACATTAAAACGTCGATTGCACTTTCTGTATAGAAGTAACGTTCAAGTATGATGCAATCCTTTCTGGACTGTCAGGATTTTAGACTCCCTGTAATCCAAACACAGAAAAAAAAACAGTTCAAATGCAGTCTGTAGATAGTGGGTGGGTTGTGGTGCTTATGTAGGGGATGGATCCTTAATTCCAAAGGCATTCTGTGAAAGGTGGCGCCCATTCTCCACGCAGTTCGCACAAGGAAGCTGGTTTGTGCAAAGAAATATTGCTGGCAGTTTTGGTAGCTTTAGAAGTCGCAATTCAGGAGCCTGGTTGGTGCATTTTAAGTTTGCCAACAGTCTTCGTGCGTCCAATTGAAGTCTCTCTGGGTAGGCAGTGACTGGGGAGGTTTGCAGTCATGTGCGTGTCTCTGTGTGTGTGCGAGTGTGTCCTCAGGACTCTCACGTCCTTGTGAGCGTCTTCTGTGGTCGAGGCAGTTTGGCTGCTATCCTGGTTCGCAGGGATCGGCGTTTCCTGCCGTAGCTGTTGGGGCTCCATGTGCTCCACCGAGCCACGTCGTCTTTCAACGGGTTGTTGAGGAGCTGATTGAGCCGATGGCTGAGTTTCTGGACCTGGCACGTCCCGAGTTGGCAGCTCGGTCGGTTAAGATGGAACTGTGGGAAGTGCGGCAATCCGTGCAGATAGCGCTTCGTGCGGATATGCGTGTCCGAACTAGTGAAGGGGAGGGGGGGAGAGAGAGAGAAAAACACACATTGACACCAATTCAAAGCAACAGCTCTGCAAAGTATCTCTCGCGTTAATTGCCCCCCCACTTGGAACCCACCACTTCGCGTGTGATCGGCGCAAGGCTGCGACTGCAATCGATTCAGATCGATAAGCTTTCGCACAGATTGATTTATTCTTCAGTTGGGGGGCAAGTTCCCCCTCCCACCCCACCCCCACCAAACACACACACACACACCCCTTTTGCAAACGGTGATCTATTTAAGCCGAACTGGTCTTAACAGTCCAAACAGTTTTACTTTTAACAGCCAGATCCAGAGAGGGAGAGAAAATACTTGTAGAAGTCTTTAATGCTTGGAAAAACAAGTGTGTGTGTGTGTGTGGGGGGGGGGTCTAACTGGCTCTAATGCAAATCCTGAACTTTAACCTTATCCAGGAGTTGGTGTATTGCCGACAGTTCAGTCCTGTCCTGCCCAGCTATCCCCCCCCTCACCACCCCCCACCACCACCACCACCAAACCCCCTGCTTTACCTTCCTCACCGCTTGAGGTGGTGTATCTGAGCAATTGCCAGACAGACAGCGCCCAGACACCAAACTAACTCACTCGGGCTGTCCCCGATTGTAAGAGGATACATTTATCGTGTTGGTTATTGTACCCCCACCCACCTCTCTCCTCCCTCATCTTTAATCTATTGATGCTGCACCCCCCCCCCCCCCACCACCCCCCCACCCAGCCCCCTCCACCTCCACCACCACCACCACCAACCCAAATCATGACCCAGACTTGTCAGCGTCCAACTCACTCTCCAATGTGATCCCACAAACAGTTGCAGCAAACCCCCAGCAAACTCCCAGCAAACCCCCAGCAAACCCCCAGCAAACCCCCAGCAAACTCACAGCAAACTCACAGCAAACCCCCAGCAAACCCCCAGCATGATCGAGTTTGCCTGAGCTGAGAACCTGAGAGGCGTTGCTTTGTTGCTTGTAACCCCTCCAGGTAATAACTGCGCTGGTTTTGGCAGCTAAACTCGCTCGCTCGCAAGGTCTCTGCTCAATTACCTGGAGTGGACGTTGAGGTTTCCCTTCACATCCTCTGTCCTGACAAACAGGCGACCGCCCGACACAACCTGAGTCTTTGATTTCGAAGCAGTTTTCAAATCTCGCTTGGTTCTGCTTAAAGCCCAAGCGTTCAACCTGCAAACAGAAAATGCAAAAAAAAAAATTAAAAATCTGATTGGTGAGGCTACTCTGAAAGCAAGAGGGTTGCAAGCTGGTCCAAAGTGTAATTGTTTAGGATTTATTTTAAAAAATTGGGGGGAAGGGAATTGGGGGATTCATTAACCACTGGATTCTGATTGTAATGGCATCGGATTGGTACTTGCCTTTTCCTAAATTCCGTGGCCACATCCAACTTGGCTTCCACGTTCACGAAAGCTGCGTGGACGAAGCAGCAACAGAGGAGAGAAACGTGAAGCAGCCTCATGGTAAGATGAAACCTGCCAGAAAGGACAAAAATACACGTTAAGACCTTTTTTTTAAAAAAAAACCATGTTGTGTTTGTTTTGAGACGGTGAATAATGCATCTCACAGGCACTGTTTGGCGATCTGTCATCAGCACGTTAGCATATAGCCTGAATTTGCTTTCCCTGTACACACTACTGGACTTTGTAAGAGTTCTATAGTCACTTTGCGAGAATACATTCATTTAACTTTAGGATTTTTTTTCACCTAATGGTAAGTTTCTTTTCGGGGCTCGCAAAGATGATTCCCCACGCAAGGATCTGACTAAACCAATCCTTCAAAATACTGTGCTTAAAAAATATTTCTTGGGCGAATATGAAACGCACGTCATGGTTTGCAACCTGCTAAACTGCCTTTTAAATGCAACAATTATTCTGACCACAACAATACGATGCCCTAAAGTACGATTTCCTTAACAGCTTGTAATACCTGCAATTGCCAGCAAATACAGTGAAAGATAAGATGTATTGCAGACGTGCCTGGATAACAAGAAGGTGCACCTTATTCACTTCGCTCACACGTACCTGTAACGTCTGATATCCACTGAATTAAATTTCCCCAAATAGTCAGCTCTGTTACTCTCTGTAGTGTATCCTCGTGGAGTCTGACGCAGAGAGACCGAGAGAGAACTTGTGATTTCTCTATTCAATTCGCATTGACTGAGTCTAGAGTCGGAGTCTGTCTTATAAACTGCACATGGGCGGGGATTCGAGTGAGTGGCAGAGAAGACGCCGCAATTTCTTAAGAGCACATCCTGCGAACCATTGCACAGTCATTTGTTTAGTACGATAAACATGTTAGCGGCTGCCAATTAACTTCAGTCGCTCTTCCACGGTATGGCTAAAACTATAATAACTTCACACTCGTGACATATACACTTTTACGTTAAACCTCATGAACTTTTAGTAGGTTTTAAATAAGGTAAAGCGTGACGCTTGATCTTTACATGTTGACTATAATGCGAATAATTTACTGGATTGCATTTTTGGAAACATCCAATTTCTTAAATGACTTGCACCTTTATTGTCCTCTTGCCTACTTGATGCACACATACCACGTTTATGTTCTCTTGGCTGCAATTAAATAAAACGACACCTGTTTTAGTTATGTCAAAATAAGTGGAAGCAATATCATCAGGGACTGACTGTTTTGAAATTTCAAGATATGATTCATGAGATGGGCAACTATTCTTGTGAAAAATATCTTTTTCACAGAAAATGACAACGGATTCCCAGTTTATTCAGCTATTTTAAAGGGGTTGGGTCGTTGGCCAGATATTCACGAAATGTCCATGCAGTAAAATGTTTTCGTTTGTCCCATTTCCTTAGAGACTCCACATGATGGTAATGCTTAGACAAAGCCAGTGATATCTCCAGCAGTTATTCATGACTCAATCCTTTCTGTTTATTCATCATCAGTACATGTGTGGAATGCAACTGAAGTTGCTGACACGAACACCGCCTACAATCTTGAATTGGTAACTTGGTAACATCTCCCCAACTCCTCTGAAGGGTTTTGACTGGAAACCATGCCAGCATACTTTGCATTGTATTAGTCTTACATTATTAGCAACAAATATTCCAAGAATTTTGATTGTAATAATGCAAGGTTTTCTGGGACCCTCCTTGGATAAATAATTAGCCTTCAAAAAGTTTTACAGTTGCCCAATGTCAGTTTGAACACGTTCACTTCTTTGATGTTGCCTCCCTCATCATTACCCGAACTGTCACTATTTTCCATTTTTCCATGTCCCCATCATCGCTCGACCAACAATCTCTATAGCACCATCTCTTTTTCATTTTCTTTACACATAGTACGCCAGGACTAAATACCCAGTTGTTGCAATATCTGGGGCTCCAGATATCTCAATTATTGACAAGTTGAGTGCAGCCCCAAAGTATTTCATATAGTCAATCAAGTGTTTTTTGTGTTTCCAAGAGTGAATTATACTTTCCACCAGTGATAGTGATGATCCTTTTAGTTCTTTCAAAAATACATCACCAGATTCCCTTACCTAGGTTACAAAGTGTAATTGATGGCAAACTGCAACATATTTTTATTGAAGTTAACATGAATGAAGATGGTCAGTGGTTTGTGTAGTCTTGGTCTATTTTTCCCCCAGTGTTACGAAAGCNTTTTTTTACACCAAGAATGTAATATTTTGTGTAGGGTCTTGTGGCAGTTTTCAGGAAAGTTTTAGCAAAATAGAACTTGGAAAGGTGAAACATATGATAAAAAGAATATGCATCCTTATTATCCTGCTGCCCATATATCTTAGTATAATCAGCAATTGTTGTAATATTACAAGAAGTTCTCCCCTCTGAATCATTTATGAATAGTGTTTTATAACAATGCTAGACTATCCACCAGCATTTACTACAAATTATTCTATTGGCAACTAGCTAGTTTGTATAGAATGATGGAATATGTCCAGGAGATATTATACTTGTTCAGATGTCTTTATTCAGCAACTCACAATTTGAACATGTTAGATTGGGACTGAATGCCCAACTGGGAGAAGTGTAGAGCAAGAAATGTAATTCTGTCAATCAGTATGTTAAAATGCAAATTTTGTTGATAGGAATCAGACTCAATGTTAAATATATTTTTGGTCCATACCAAGTCGAAAGATAACTAATTCACGATTGTCACTTAATCCACACTGTTTGTGGGATACTGCAGTGCACAATTGGCTGCCTCCTTTACCCACAAAACATACAGTTTACAGTGTATTCTGTGAAGCGCTTTGAGATGTCTAGAAGACGTGGAAAGTGCTATATCAAATGCAAGGATTATTATCGTTATTATTAAAGGAATTCTTTACTACCATTGGTAATGGAAACACATGTAATTTGTTTTTTCCACACTGATAGCCAATTTGGCTGATTCCCATATTAACTGCCACTTTCATGACATTTGCATGAACGTAATTCTGATCAAAATATAAACATCAGTATGCCAAAAATTACTTCTCAAGCAGTTTAGTATATAGAATTTCAAAATACAAAATTAATTTCCCGCTGACTTTTTTTATGGAATGCCTATAAATATATCCTTCAAACGTTTCTCGGAATACTATATATTGTCAGTTCAGCAGTTGCCCTTCATTTTTCACATGCTAAATGACTTTATTTGTATAATATAAATCATTTTCTAAGTATTTTAATCTGGATTCAGTTGCAGCTTGCATTGCTAAATGAGCTGAGGGTCAAACATTACAAATTAGTTATTTTTATCTACAGATTGTGGAAATTATCTTCCAACTATAATCCTGATCCAAGCACGAAATATCTTGGCACATGTATGCTCCATGATAAATTTTTATTGTTGTGATCATTTAGTAATTTTTATGAATCATATTTTCAAGAGAGTCATGGGCTTTGGGGAATCATCTACAGTGTATCCAGGATCTCTAAAAGGAACAATTAAGATTCTGTCTAGGGAGATATAAAAATGTAGTACTGAATAAATATGAAACATTCTTATGTGGAATTGTGTGCCAAGTAATTAGTTTTAAACTGAAATTGATTATGTTTAACTAAATCGTTTCATTTTACATAATTTCCATCTGAGAGATGAAAGTTCTGCATGATTCTGGAGGGTCAATTTTGTTTCGTGTTGGTGTGCGTATTTGTTACTTGGTTTTTTTGTATTTTCTGTGAGAGACCTTATGATTGGTTAATTAAGGGTTGGAAGTGAATTTGGGGACAATTTTGTTTTGGTCAGCTGGGTATCGGACACATCAACAACAACAACAACAAGATTCCATTTATAAAGCGCCTTTCACGTCAGGAGGACGTCCCAAGGCCCCAAGGACACATGCCATACCCAAGAGCACTCAAACCAAACTGAGAATGCCATGCATCCCACTTACACAGTTGGAGCTAGCTCAGACCCTGCTTGCCTCCACACCACACCCCAGGGAAGATAGTGGGAGAATATATTGATATTTTCAGTTAGTCAAACTATAATAGAGGGAACAGGAAATAAATTAAAACAGGTCAAGACATGGCATTCATCCAATTTGCATCTGAGAAAAAACCCTTCCAGATAAAATTGGCTGCATAGCTGTTTCTGGGACATTGACATGCACAAATTGGCTGCCATGTTTGTCTCAAATTACACTTTAGAGTAAATCCTATGTTCCTATGAAGTGCTTTGAGACATTTTGGTGATATAATAGTGAGCTATGCGAAGATTATGTTGTAAATTTTCTGGAGCCATTGGATCCTAGCTCAAACCCCATCTGAACACTGCGTGATCATCACCTCTGAAAAGTTAATACTTGTTTGAATGACCATTTGCTATAGATACAGTTCATTAGAACAACGTAGGGCACGATTCTTTTAGTCATGCACACCACATAAGTTGGTTAAAATGTATAAGTGGAGAAATATTAACAGGACATTTTTAACCCAAAAATATATAATCTATCTTTCACACATTGGAATAGATATACCTCACTATATTACAGTTTACATTTTTTACATTTTAATCTGTTTGTCTTAAATGTCTTCACTCTTACTTTACCTTCCTTTAAACTCTCCATATGGCTTCACTTAACTTTGTCTTTGTTAACAGTTAACAAAATAACCTTTTCCAACCTCGGTAACTGATATAATGGCAGTCTTTTTTTTACATTATTGGGTAACATTGGGCCTTTTAGTGGATGTATTTAGAGGCCTCAGCCTGCATGTCTATTTTATCTTCCATTTTAAGATGGTACAGAATTCTTAATTTGGTTTTATAGGCTAAGAGTTGGCGAAATTTCAGGCCTTATAGTTTTCTTTAGAATAATTCCTGAGCTTGTTAATAGATTTTATCTCTTTTTTATTTTCTATTGGAAATTTATTAATTATTGATTTCTTTTAACAAGTCACCATGTTGTTTTTTTCCCCTTTGCTTAGATGTCTGTATCAAGCAGAAGATATTTCAATCTCTAAGTCTACTTTTCCCATTTAAGGCCATGTAAGTCCGGGTCAAACAGGAAATAATGGAAATCCCCGTGATTAGTAATGCACAAAAAAATCTAGAATATTTCTTGCTTTCACTTCCTTACTCATTCCTTTTAGGAGAATTACACACACCCCATTAGTTGTTTTAGTTCTTAAAACAATTTATGTGGAAATATTGTCAGTACAATACCTTTAACACATGTATCTGAGATTGTACATACTTATATGCTGTTGGAGTGGTGTACAGGAAGTTTTGTTGATGGACGAACAGCATTTGGTCCGGTACCTACTGAAAAGATCCATCTTTTTAACCACACTTTCACCTCCCCCCCTCAGCTCATGTTTCCAGTCAGCTGTGTGCAGCGTTTTGAGATGTCTTTCCAACCTGAAGGGCATTATGTAAATATTTTGACGATGGGTTGTGGACCCGAAACATTGACTCACTTTCCTTTCTCCAAAGGTGCTGCCTGACCTGCTGAGTGCTAAGGCGACTTCTCTTTTTGTTTCAGATTTTCAGCATCTGCAGTATTCTGCGTTTTGTTTTTTACTATGTAAATATTATTGTTTTTGTAATGTCCTGTTAATATTTCTCCACTTATACATTTTAACCAACCTATATGGTGTGCATGACTGAACGAATCATGCCCTACGTTGTTCTAATGAACTGGATCTATAGCAGATGGTCATTCAAACAAATATTAAAATGTATTCCTCCATTTCTAGTACCTCCCTCTCTTTGTTTGAATTTGGCTGTCCATAGACAGTGGTAGATTATCAAAAGTGTACATAAATACACTATTTAATCTACAAACCATCTTTAGACTCTCTTTTGTAATTGCTACAATATTTTATTGTCTTATATCATGCCTGCATATTCCATTATTTTTCGTAAATGTCAGATCTTGTACTTGTGTAGATACAGGAAAAAAACCTACAGTGAAACTCGCTTAAGTCTTATCTTTATAAATCGTATAATCGCCTAAGTCATAGCTTCACCCAAGTCCCATTCAGTTTCCAATCAAAACCACTTAATTACTTTTCATATTAAATCACCTCCTAATTCTTAACTCCTCTACCTTCCATCACTCCTGCACCTACTGGGAGCCTTGAATCGCGGTCAATGTCGTCTTGATTTGTCAATGCATGGCCCAAGAACTTCATTTCCAGCGAGTCAAAGCGATTCCAACGCTTTGCGGTAAATGTGTATGCGGCGACTGGTGAAAACGCATTGAAATGCGGGAAATAAAGTCTTAACCCATCACCGCATGTGTACTTACCGACTGCATTAAATTATGCACGTGTAAGGGAGTGGGGGTAACTACGCATGGAGGGGGGACCCCTGAGTCGCATTTTCTATGACTTATTACAGTTTGCCTGCAACTTGGACTTCGCATAAGTCATGTTAAATGTATGGTCCTAACTGATACAACTTGTTTTAGAGTTTTACTGTATTTACAGAAATCTGCAGAAACATCGTCTATAAAATAAATTTGAAAAATGGCAACATTGCCGCTGATTGTTGCGAGTCAGAGAATTAGCTACTGCTGCTTTTCTCTCAATCTTCTTTCTGCGAGTGTAGCACTTACACTGTTTTCTTGCACTGGGTCCTTTTACTTCCGAGCTGCCGATTTCTCACCCGAGTCAAAAGGTTGTGGGTTCCACCCCCGTAACAGGACTTTGAACTTAAGTCGATTTTTTTTTTGTGCGGAAACCTATCACCGTGTTTAGGAATATCCAAAGCAAATTGAGATGTCTATGCATCCCACCTATACATGGAAATCCCAGAGATAAGTTGTTGGAATGGAACTCTCTCCCTGGAATGATGGAGCGTGCTTACCTAATTCCGGAAAGAATTAGACGCAGGTTGGCAAGAGCCAAGACTTGGGCACCCCAGAGTATGTGTTGAGGTAACTGCTGGAGTCTTAACCAGTTAAAATCGCATAGGTTGCCATTGATATTGCTGTCCAGCAAGATTTCCCACTGCTTCGATCGTGCCTTCGATCACCCTCCTTCCCCCCTGTCCTCCGCCCTCCCCAGCTTGAGTCTGAAATTACTGATCGTCCAGCGCCTTGGGAGGTCCTCCCGTCGTGAAAGGCGTTATACAAATGTGATTTGGTTGTTGTCGTGTCTAGCTCGGGCCACCCTACCACGAGGGCTACTGTACGTCAACAATGGTGCTCAGTTGGAGCACTTTCCCCTGAGCGCAGTTGTTCACTGCTGTATCATTTTGCTAAATTTGCTGCACTGCGCAGTTCACTTGAGTTCCTCTTTCGGGAGCGTCTTTGTACAAACTGTTTTTTTTTTTGCTGCTCTGATTCGAGGCGCTTAGTTTATCTATGGGTTCAGAATATTAAATCCAGGATTCAACTCCGACGCTCAAATTTTTTTTTTTTTTGCCTTCGCGCCGTTACATCGGAGGCCCAGCTCCGTCGCTCGTGCGCGCGCGTCTGTGCGCGTGCGCCCGCACGAGTGGTTCGTCTCTCAGGCAACCTGGCTGCGACATTTCACCGATTCCGAGCCGCCTCCTGCCCGAGCCGCATCCTTGGCAGCCGTCTGGACTTTCGGCTCTCACTCTCTTTTTTTAACGGTTCTCGGGCTCCTCGGGAGCTTTGCAACCGCCGGGGAAACCGGTGACTTGGCGATGCCGCGAAACCGTGGATCGGTGTGTGTGGTGTGTGTGTTGTGTGTGTGGTGTGTGTGTGTGGTGTGTGTGTGTGTGTTGTGTGTATCCCGACACACGCAGACAGGGATTGCAGATGTCCCCATTGCACCTCCTTCTCCTCTCGCTCTCTCCTCTCTCTCTCTCTGTCTCTCTCTGTTTTATCTTAAGTTTTCTTTTCTTTCTCTTTCTCTTTCTCTCTCTCTTTCTCTCTCTTGGAGCTCAGACAGCCTGGGGGGGGGGGGGGGGGGTGGGGGGGCGGGGGGGGGGTGGGGGGGAGAGGCTGGTGGTGTAAATGATAAATGTAATGCAAGGATTATTATTATTATTATTATTATTATTATTAAATGGATGGTTCCTGGAGCGGTTGGTTCGTGGCTGAGGAATGATGTGGAGGAGGAATGAGTCCCTGTGTCCCCCCCCCCCCCCCACTGTCCCCCCCCTCACAGGGTCAGGCCTCTCCGCGCACGCGCTGTGGCTCTGGTGGGGTGTGGGGGGGGGGGGGGGAAGGGGGTTAAACATGGCTGAGGTTCTCAGGGCAGGAACATGTTGAGCTGCTCTGTCCCGGTCCCCCCCGACATCCCCGAGACATGGCGCGATTGGCCGATTACTTCGTGGTGGTCGGTTACGACCACGAAAAGACGGGTGAGTGTCATATTATATTTTATTTCCCCCCCCACCCCCCACTCTCCCTCTCCCCCCCCACCACCACCACCACCACCACCACCATCACCACCACCACAAAGAGAGAGAGAGAGAGAGAGAAACACCAGAGGCGTCGTTAAGAGAGATATGTCCAGACTCGGGGTCGGTGAGGGAGGGGGTGAGGGGGGGGAGAGGAGGATGGGGGGTAAAGGGGGGGTGGGATTGGGGGGCAAAGGGGGGTCGGGCCCCTGGACAGGGCCGGTTGGTTGGCACCGAAAGTCCTTTAGGCCCTGAGTGAGAGAGAGAGAGAGAGAGAGAGACATTGAGAGCTGCTCACAACACAACACATAATACATAATATATACTATATACAGAGATAAATAAACCATAAATAAATACTTCCATCCACACACAGAGATACACACACACACACACAAAGAGGAGTTTGTATGTTTTTTTTGAGGTGGTGGGGTGGGGGGGGGAGGGGGTTACTGTCAGGAGGGACTTTAATGTAAACTGTTTCTGGACTTTGCCAACGTCTTGATTTGTGTTTGTGGCTGTTTTTTTTTTGTTGGGGTGTGAGTGTGGGTGTGGGTGGTGGTGGGGGGGGGGGGAGGGGTGTGGGTGGGGTGGGGTTTGATTTGATTTGTGTGTTGTGTTGTTAGAATAGGAATTTCCACAAATAAAATGCCAGGAAGGGGGGGGGGGGGGGAGCCCTCTTGTGTGTGTGTCTGTGTGTTGTGTGTGTGGTGGTGGGGTGGGTGGGGAGGGTTGTCATTCCCCCCCCCCCCCCCAGGGTTTTCAGAGGATGCCCTGGAGCTGTTATTCATATTTCCCTCACCCCCCACCCCCCCAATATTTTATAACGATGCTAAACAACAGTACCAATAAAGAACAGTTGTGTGTTTCTGTATAATTGAATGTTTTTCAAGCAATGGCAGTGGAACAGTATCATCATGGTTTGTAAATATTGCTTTCAAAATGTTCAGAAACTTGTTAGTCTCCCCCCCCCCCCCCACCACCACCTCCCTTTTTGAAAACATAAAAATAAAAAGGGCACCCGTAAAATACTGGTCCCATATTGATGATGCCCTTGAAGGATAGGATGAGCGACTATCTTCAGCTTTTGTGGTCAGTTTGTATCAGCCTATGTTTCATCGGCACATCTGAAATTAGAGATACAGTGACAGGTGGCAGTGGAGTTGGAGGCTTTGAGTCTGGAGTAGGAAGACACTGGACGACAGGTTGTCGAAGAATCCGATCATTCCAAGTCAAAGCCCATTGATCTTTATCAGATAATAATAATCCTTGCATTTGATATAGCGCTTTTCACGTCGGGAGGACGTCCCAAAGCGCTTCACAGAACACACTGTAAAGTGAATTGACTGTATATTTGTGGGCGAACGCGGCAGCCAATTGCGCCTCAGCACTGTCCCACAAACAGTCGTAGATCTTTACACTCAAACCTCAATCCGTGCAAGCAGTGATAATCAAAACCGAATTCCACTGTATTAGCGATTAAGATTAACTCCTAAAATTCAGCAGTTTTGTGTGAGAATCAAGCCCCCTGCTAAATAAATGATTTAGTTCAATATTTATGCATCTATATAGATAGATGGAGCTTGATAATTCATTCCAAAAGAGTGATTCCTATCATAGCAGTCAATAAACAGTTCTGTTGAAAATATGTTTTAGAGTTTGGAAACATTTTGTACATTGTTTCTATTTACTTGTGTTGAACAGTCGATGCCATTTGAACTTTACTGTAATGATGTTAGTTTATAAATGATTAGCTATTACTATTTATCATATTTAGACTTTTTTTTGTATTGGATCAGATTAGACTTTTGATTCATTCATTTGTGATAGACATTTTAACTGAAAGTAAAATGAACATGATCCATCTCGCACCAATTTTCAAAAAGAAATATTTGGTGGATGCTTAACCATATCTAAGTAACGGTTTTCTGTAAATTAGTTTGAATTAAGTGCTCTGAGCTGCAGCCCGCATTGAGGGTGCTAAATAAATGCAGGTTGTACATTTAGCAGTTGTACATACAAGGGTGTGTCACTGCAAATTGTTCTCTAAAATCTTTATTTTGAAAGCAGAAGTGAGAATGCTACTTCTTTCTTTTAGTTTCAGAATTTATATATTCTTAATTCTATAGATTTAGGTTGTTATGGTGGTCTTCTGCCAGCAAACCTCCATAGAAAACCCCAAGTGAAAAATTCAAAAAACATTTAAAATTCTGTTTAATTATATTTTAGATTGAAGTCATAGGGTGGTAAATATCCAGTCATTGATTTGTTTTCTCCAGCCTTAAGCCTTTCAGATGATTGGTTACTTTTCAATTTATCAACACTTTTGCAGTATTTTGGAAAACATTACTTTGTTTATTACAATGAAACAGAAATGGGGCTTTAATTTTTATGGTAATATAAACATTTTTCCAATGTGTTGTAGGCATGTGCCAAGCTGTATAAATCGCTGCAGAAATTATTGGGACCACCTTATTTAGTATTCAGTTGATTAAGCTGTTTCTATATTTTCTACCTGGATACTGTGGACCAGGTCTAGCCAGCTGTTTTTGACAGATGATCTTGTCATAAGTATTATTTACAGTCATTTAAAGCTTTTGTTACAAGAGTTAGAAGAGGTTGAGTGTTAACTCATGCATGTAAATAGCTCATGAATATTGGGCAGGAAATTGATTAGAAGAAAAGTTAATTACTTAAAGATTAAGGCAGTGGCAATTTCATGGGGGATTTACTTTTCCAATATATTTTAAATTACATGGCTAATGGAAAAGGCTCCAACTGAATCATTTTTTATGTAATTAAAATATGTAGGTGCAGTGGCTTTTCCCCTCCAAAACTTAATAACAATAGAACAAAAAAGGGCTTTAGCTGATAGCTGGAATTATGTTTTGCATGTATTACCATGTGTAAGTATTTTTAATTCTCAAAAACAAAAAAAAATAGTCAAACTTGTTCAAACAACTACCCTTCTTAACAACCATCCTGGGAAAAATCTGAAAAGATTTTGCATCATCCTAATTTAGCAACCACCTGTCTCATGCAACCAGTGGCTACTCTTGGTCTGTTTACCTTTGTACCAGCACCCTTTTCAATGGCCAGTTCTCGCCTCTCACTCGTCCGTGAGTCTGGTGATGGGTGTGTGAGAGGAAGAAGGGAGGTACTTAGGTCGTGTCTGAATCTTCTCATTACACTATACAACCCCTTTCTAAGAGGTTACCCTTCTACGATGGTCTCTTTGGCCAGTCCCAGGAGTGGCTGTTGAAGAAAGGTTTGACAATATTTTCATACTGTATACTATGGAATTTTTGCATTCAAACATTCAAATTTGCTGATGTATATTTTCGTATTACTTCCTTGAATTTGAGTTTGTGTTTGTTTTATTGTTGGCTTACTTTTCCTAAAAGATATCTATGTACTGGTTCAGGGTAAGACCTCTGATTTATGATATATTAAAAGATAGTTGTAGGTCAAAGCCAAGCTCACACACCCTCTACCTATTCTAATGTCATCTTTAACTAATTACAACATTCATGGTGGATTCAGTATTCAAATACATTGACACCATTTGGAGTCTGGGTTTCGGGGCAGGGGGTGGGGGGATTCTATTTGGTTGACGTACTTCTGATTAGCAATTGTACACACAGTGAAGGTTCTGCAGTACATTAATATGGTAGAGGTCTTGATGTTGTTTGGGTTCAGATCCGCATTCTGTACATGTCCTTTGTAAATGACTGTGTCAGTGATGGGGAAGTACTGAAATGAGGGTTTCAAGTATTTGTTGCTGTAATCAAAGTGTTTGAGGAAGTAAGAATACTTTTCATAGAACAAATGGAATATTGTAACGAGGTGAAACATGCACTGACATGGGATATTTGGTGGATTTTGTTTAGCATGTGAACATTTAATTTGTATCTTATACACTGTAAAATAACCAGTTTGATTGGGGAAGTGTGAATAATTTGACACTAGCAATGAAGGCTCATCACATGTAAAGGAACGATTGTTTCAAAATCTAGCATGTGAGAACTTGTTTTATTTAGATGAGAAGAGCAGAACTTCTTCAAGGTAGGCATTCCTAGAAGAGAAGTGGCAGTGGATTAAATATAAACAAAATGAAAAAACACTACAGATGCTGGAAACTTGAAACAAAAGCAGAAACAGTTCGGAACACTCAGTAGACATGCTGAATGTTCCCAGCGACTTCTGTTTTTGTTTTAGATTTCCAGCATCTGCAGTATTTTGTATTTTGTTTTATTTAGTACTGTTCTCAGAAAAAGAGGAATAAATTAAATTTTTGATTTCTTCCTGGAATCATGGATTAATGAAAAAACTGCAGAGCAACAGTAAGTATTTATGTTGGTAAATTATAATAATCACTTCAGCACACCGACAGGACATTTGAATTAAACTTTTCCAGTGTACGAGTAACTGCAGATATTCCTCGTTGTTGTATAGTAGGTTCAGATCCGATGAATCTGAATATATTCAGTCTTATAAATCCTTTAAGTAGCCTGAGAATGTTAACTTGCTTTCATTATGTGATGTGTTCAAAATACTCCAGAACATTTTGGATTGGTAATGCTTTGCTCAAAATGAAGTTTGTTTTGTTTCTTGTAAATGGCAACAGCATGCCATGTTGCTCCAACATGCTATCCTGCAAGAAGGGTGTTATATAAAGGCAAGTTATGGTTGATTTATCACTCATTCAGATTCTAATAGAATTAACAGCCTCCCCCGTCCACCCTGCAAAAAGTTCATTCTGAATCTTAATCTTTCTCATTGACTAACTAAATATATTTATTGATTGTGCACTAATGGGTCATCATTAATAATACAACACTCACTTACTCAAAGTCCCATTTCAACAACCTGCAAGATGCAGATTTTAGAGTCTTTGTCAGTGAAATGATTTTAAACCCAATTTAAACTGCTCGGAGTATCTTAAAATCTGAATAGGGAAA